ACAAAACATGCTGTCCTGTTTCCTAGTCCCACTGCTCCACTGGGGGGTGCTGTGCTATTGTCCTGTGTGTGGTTGGTACCATTCTGCATCTCATATTGCTAAGCCACCAGCATTTATCTGTGGTCATTTAGGTCAATTATTAAATCTTGTTCACTCAGAATTTCTTTTACTCACTCAGGCATTTAAGTCTCACTGACTTAATGTGATTTAGTAATGACTCTCCTCTCTTTGCAGGAGTGGAGGAACCAGTACATTCACTTGAAATCACGGGTCGAAGGATCTGTGTTGGACACAGAAGGAAGTAGGTAGGCTTGGTGCTGGGCTGAGCTGGAGGGAGCGGAGGAGCACACACATGACCCACAGTGGGGTCCACAGAGGCTGAGGCAGGACAAGTGAATGGAGCAGTGGCCCCACCAGTACTTTTTCTGAAATAAAGTCCTGAGGAGGGAAGTCGTAGGCAGTTACTGCTCACACATTCTTCTTTACCCTTTATCTCCAGCAACTCCCTGGTAGCTATCCAACAGTTGGGAGGGGTTTTTTGTTGTGTTTTTAATAAAAATGCTTGATTATTTATTTTTGTTCTGGATTTCAGAGAGAGGAAGGAAAGGGGGAGAGAGAGAGAGAGAGAGAGAGAGAGAGAGAGAGAGAAAGAGAGAGAGAAAAAGAGAGAGAGAGAGAAAGAGAGACAGAAAGAGAGAGAGAGAGAGAGAGAGAGAGAGAGAGAGAGAGAGAGATTAGCTGCCTACTGCCTGCCCTCCTACTAGAATTGAATTTGAAACCGGGCATTTGCCCTCACCTGCTGATGCATGGGACAAAGTTCAACAAACTAAGGCACGCTGACCTGAAGTAACCACAAAGAATGGTTTGAAATTGAAACTTTTTAACTAAAAGCAGGTTATGGCAGGTAACCAGCCGGCCCCACCCCCTGGTTGAACTTCCAGTCAAGAAGACAATTTGCATATTAGACTTTTATTATATAGGAAATATATATATATATGAAATATGCAAATTAGGCCAGGACACCATAACGGGTCATGACCATACACCAGGAGGTTGTGCACACAGGTGAGGCCTGGAGCTAATATGGAGACAGAGACAGGAGGGCTGGCAAGCCGCTGTGCTGGACTTGGGCCGGCCCCCTGGAGCCAGAGCGGACACAGACAAGGATGGGGGCTGGCTGGCAGCCTCCGCAATGGAGCACAAGCCTGGAGAGGAGACGGTGGGCCCGCATCCGGTGGAAGCAGCATGGCTCCCTCTGGCCTCCTGCGGAATTGGCGCGGGTCCCTCCCGGCTCCTGTGAGCGCTGGTGGCTCAATTCAGCCTCCCGTGGAAGCAGTGCAGCTCCTGGCAGTGCACCTCGGTTCCCCCCCGGTCCCCACAGAAGCAGCAGGTGGACTACTGCACACGATATTGCAGGATGGGCTACTAGTATCAGAATAACTTCCCCTGACAGTACATCGGGACTCAAATCCACCTATCACATTTCCTTATGTGCTTTTGGAATATGTTAAACCACCCCTAGAAAGTTTTTACTTCCAAAGCATATCCACATATACACATTTACCTGATGGGGGCTGGGGCTGGGGGTGAGGGTGGGGAGCTTCCTCTGGCTACTACCCTTGGGCAAGTTTAGCCCCATCTTGGGCACCACCTCAGCCTGGGCAACAGCCCACTTGCCCCGGCTGTTGCCTAGGTGCCTGGAGCAGAGCACCTCTCCCCGTGGGTCCAGCACATGGATACCTACCATGTGGGGCACAGAGCTGGAGCTGGGGGCTGCTTGAGTGGTCTGCCCCTGCTGGCCCTTCCAATGGTAGTGCAGCCAAGGAAGAAGGGAGAGCTGAGTGGGGAGGTGCTGGGGCCAGGCAGGAGGTGCAGGCCTGCGGAAATGGGTGCAGGGAGAAGGCCCATCGGAATTGCTGAGGTCCCTCTGGATCATCTTCAGACTTTTCTTATCTCTGGCTATTTGACCAGAACTGATAATGGGTGGAGCACAGTCAGTCAAGGGAGCTATGTCTCCAAGGAGCCTAGAAGAGACTGAGCCCATGAAGGGGCCGCTATAGGGCATGCAGTGGGGTTGGGATAGGATAGGGTGTGGGGGGTACTATAGGTAGCCAGGCACCTCTGTACTGTGGCATATATCTCATCAGGGCCTCCCTCGTTGTCTCCCTTTCCAGCTTGGAGAGGAAGGCAGGGGAGGCCCAAAAGGTGTCCTCCTCCTGCCCCCTTGATGCCAAAAGATCCCGAGGGTATTGCAGGAGGCGGGGCAGGGGAGGTGGGGGAGGAACTTATGCAACCCAAGCAGGCCAGGGCAGCAGTTAATCCACTCCATCCATAAGCAGCCCTGCCTCTGACTTAAAACCCTAAACCAAAGTGCTATAGATTTTAGGAAAAAACTCAATACTAATCAGAATATCCTATTTACATTTGACTTTCTCCTCAAGCCCCTCTATAAGAGGCAAAGGATTGAATATTTTCATGAGAGTTTATTTAAATCTCTGGAAGATCATTTTAACGGAAAGCTACATGTGATCATTATTTGAAGCAAAATCTTAACCAAAATTTCCCTCCTCCTAAGCATCCTAGCAGGAAGTCATCTCTAAAATTTTAAAGTTAAAGGTTCTTTCAGGTATTGCCTAAAATTAAAAAACAAAAACAAACAAGCAAAAAACCGGTGTTGTAAGGCAGAAAAATTCTGCTCAGAGAGTTAGTAGTTTAACAAGGGGAGAGCTTGATGATGTATCCGAAAAGATGAGTTTTAAATGAAAGAAAAAAAGAGAGGTCTCCACCACCCCAAAACACACCAGAAACAGACCTTCCTCCAGTTTACCCAAAGGCTCCTCGGCCATGCCAACTTCGATACTCATGCACTCAGGATGACACCACCTGTAAAGCACAGAACTTTGGCTTTGCTTCTGAAGTGATGCAACCACAATACCTTCATTTTCCCTTTCTTCAAGGTCAGAAAGATCTGGAAGCTGTAAGGATTTTGAAGTAAAGGTCCTTCCCAGAGTCTCAATGTAGACTTCAAAATGTTTTGTTATTAGAAATAAAAACGAGGAACCAAGATGGCGGCATAGGTTAACGCCGGAGTTTGCTGCCTTGAACAACTACTTCAAAAGTGAAACTAAAAAACGGAACGGACATCACCCAGAACCACAGGAACGCTGGCTGAGTGGAAGTCCTACAACTAGGAGGAAAGAGAAACGCATACGGACACTCAGAGGAGGTGCAGTGCTGAAGTCAAATTCTGAGGTGCGGAGTGCGCGGAGCGGGCTGGCGACGGAGGGCATGGTTGGCGTTTTCAATCGGGAGGGAGTCGCAGACTCTGAGCTCCAGATACAGGCGAGTCTTTAGGGACCCAGACTCAAACGGAAGAAGCGGGACTGTCTGGCTTCGGTCAGAGCGAGTGCAGCTTTCTCTCTGAGGTTTGCAGCGGGTGCTGGGACTCAGAGAGGCAGAGCCCCTGGGGACAGGACTGAGAGCCGCCATAACTGCTCTCTCTGGCCCACCCTGTTGATCCTGTACAACCCGCCCTGCCCAAGCCCTGCACAGAGGCATTTGCCGGATAGCCTCAGGCAAAGGCTAGATTAGCACCTCCCTAGAGGACAGAAGTTCTCTCACTGCAGACACAGCTGATTCTCATAGCCACTTGGCCTGGAGGTCAAACCCTCCCTGGTATTAGCTACAACAATCAAGTTTTAACTATAAGACTGCGAACAAAGACCACTAGGGGGTGCACCAAGGAAGCATAACAAAATGCGGAGACAAAGAAACAGGACAAAATTGTCAATGGAAGATATAGAGTTCAGAACCACACTTTTAAGGTCTCTCAAGAACTGTTTAGAAGCCGCCGATAAACTTAATGAGATCTACAAGAAAAATAATGAGACCCTCGATCTTATATTGGGGAACCAACTAGAAATTAAGCATACACAGACTGAAATAACGAATATTATACAGACTCCCGACAGCAGACCAGAGGAGCGCAAGAATCAAGTCAATGATTTGAAATGCGAGGAAGCAAAAAACACCCAACCGGAAAAGCAAAATGAAAAAAGAATCCAAAAATGCGAGGATAGTGTAAGGAGCCTCTGGGACAGCTTCAAGCGTACCAACATCAGAATTATAGGGGTGCCAGAAGATGAGAGAGAGCAAGATATTGAAAACCTATTTGAAGAAATAATGACAGAAAACTTCCCCCACCTGGTGAAAGAAATGGACTTACAGGTCCAAGAAGCGCGGAGAACCCCAAACAAAAGGAATCCAAAGAGGACCACACCAAGACACATCATAATTAAAATGCCAAGAGCAAAAGATAAAGAGAGAATCTTAAAAGCAGCAAGAGAAAGAAACTCAGTTACCTACAAGGGAATACCCATACGACTGTCAGCTGATTTCTCAACAGAAACTTTGCAGGCCAGAAGGGAGTGGCAAGAAATATTCAAAGTGATGAATACCAAGAACCTACAACCAAGATTACTTTATCCAGCAAAGCTATCATTCAGAACTGAAGGTCAGATAAAGAGCTTCACAGATAAGGAAAAGCTAAAGGAGTTCATCACCACCAAACCAGGATTATATGAAATGCTGAAAGGTATCCTTTAAGAAGAGGAAGAGGAAGAAAAAGGTAAAGATACAAATTATGAACAACAAATATGCATCTATCAACAAGTGCATCTAAGAATCAAGTGAATAAATAATCTGATGAACAGAATGAACTGGTGATTATAATAGAATCAGGGACATAGAAAGGGAATGGACTGACTATTCTTGGGGGGGAAGGGGTGTGGGAGATGCAGGAAGAGACTGGACAAAAATCGTGCACCTATGGATGAGGACAGTGGGTGGGGAGTGAGGGCGGAGGGTGGGGCGGGAACTGGGAGGAGGGGAGTTATGGGGGGGAAAAAGAGGAACAAATGTAATAATCTGAACAATAAAGATTTAATTAAAAAAAAAAAAAGAAATAAAAACGAAATTCCAACAATCCCAGCTATCAGTTGAGGTGTTCTGCAGCTTCAAAATCAAGTAAGACTTGCAGATGAATTACTAGATATAAACAACTATTTTTATAAGTACCATACAAATACTGGAGAAAATTATGGACACCATCACCCAAGTCTAAGAAATTATTATTAATTCTAGCTGGTGGTCCAATACTCAGATACTTCCAGTTACAAGTCTCTCACATCTCCTCCCCACAACCCAGGTCTATTCTTGTCTCTAAAGTCTAGAATTTCAATGTTGAATGGAATCTTGTTTGTCCAGTGGTCGGCAAACTCATTAGTCAACAGAACCAAATATCAACAGTACTTCTTCAAAATAGACTCGCCCAGGCCCAAAACCGACTTTTGCGCATGGCCTTGCCCTGGAGGCCCTTGTTATTTGCATATAAATACTTGACTATTTACACTTTAATTCCTTACATCAAGGCTAATGGTAGCTATGAACTGACACATTTGAAATATATGTTTAATAATGCTAATAAGGCTGAGGATGGCATCACTCTGTGGAGGTTTCAGGAGGTAGTTTCCCCTCCTGTCTCAGCATTAGAGTCGGAGGTATCAATCTGATGAACCCGAGGATTTACTCTGCTTTTTCTCAAATGTTCGGAGTAAGAAATCCTCCTTGATGAAGCTGAGGATTTACTCCGCTCCCTGTACAGGGTAAGAAGAAGACAAAGGTCAAGGCTTTGACTCTTGAAAGATACAATTAAACTATTCATTATTTCCTCATTTTAGATAAGAATTCTAAGTGTTCCCAATTATTTACGTTTTTAGTAACAGTTCCTGCTCCTGTGATTTCTGCTCCCCCTTCTTGCATTTCTTGCTGCCATACATATTCTTCAGCCAAAGCAGCCACCTTCTCCAGAAACCACCGTCCTACAAAACAGACGGGGAAATATGAATTCCGGTTCCCGTGCTTTGTCCCGCCACAGTACTTTGTCCTCCTCAAATGTACCTCAATATCCTGGTCTGAGGAGGATTTCTTACTCCAATAATTTGAGAAAAAGCCACTTGGAGGAAAATACATACCTGTAAGGTTCTCAGCACAGGAAACAAAGTCAGAGAGTTAAGCAAGTCAGAAAGGGGGAAAAGAGCTTTAATCTGCGTCCCTGGCCAAGACCCACGAGTCCCAAAGGCGGGGCCACTGAAGTCACGCCAACATGGACAACGAGGGAGGGGGGGTTTTAAAGGCCAGGGTCAGGCAGAGGCAGGTCGGAGGGCAGCCAAGTGTAGGGGTGGAGCAGGAGCTGATTTACAGTCACCTGTGACATCTCCACGATCCGGAAGCGGATGAACTTAAGGAGGCAGGGGGCTAGGAGAAAAAAGACACAGATGAGAATCAGGGGCCCTATCATGGGTAGGACCCAGGTAGCTAAGGGGCTTTGGAACCAGCCGAAAAGAGAGTTGTTCCGGGAGTGTCTTACACATAGTTCTTCACTCAGCTTAGTCAGGGTCTGCACGTTTTGCTCCACTACTCCAGACTTGTTGATGTAGTAGCAGCATTCCTCCTGAAGGAATATACAGGTTCCTCCTTTTTCTGCAGTCAGAAGGTCTAAGGCGCACCGGTTCTGTAGGGCTACTTGGGCTATTGATGTTACTTGTCGCTGTAGGGAGGCTAAAGAGGTGGTAGAAGACTCGAGGGCTAATTGGAGCTTGTCATTGAAGTCCTGAGCAGAGACCAGACTGTTCCCAAGGGACCCCACGGCGAGGCCTACGGAGGCGGTGATACTCACCCCTAACATGACAAGGAGGAAGGCAGCCCAACAGGCCCAGGGGAGGGATGAAGGGAGCAGCCAGGCGAGCTCTGACTCTCCATACAAGGTTAGTTGAACTACTATGACCACGAAGCAAGGCCTGGGGTTAGAGGAGTTTATGCAGTTGCTTAAGGTGCTGTTGCACCAAAAGAAGGTACCCGGGCTGGCCTTGGTGAGACTGACTGCAGTGTGGTTTTGGGTACAGTCACAAGTGACTCATCCCCCAGTTACCGGATTACTGGTCTGGTAGCATATCCGTGGGGGCAAGGTGGGTTCTGGAGTTTCAGGCTCCTAAAGGGGAATGCCAGTCGAGGGAGGCTGACATTCACCTTGCCCCTGGGTTCCTGGGGGAGTTATGAGTGGGACGGCAGCCAGCAAAGGCCTTTGGAGAGAGAGGTGCATAGAAAGCAGTGCAGGACATTGGGCAGGGTGCGGGTCTCGTTGAGGAATAGTAGAGTGTGTTGAATAAGTTGGAGCCAAGAAGATAGGACTTCTACCCGGGGGAGTCAGGCAGCTTCCCTTTAAGGGACTGTTCGGCCTATAGGATGCTGTTGGAGACCTGGATTTGGGCCTCCTAGGCCAAGACATATTCCCGGGAGATGTAAATGGTCCCTGAAGGGGTCAAGCTCCAACCATTCCAGTATAGCTTTCCCATAATACCTGTAACCCATCGCTGGTCACAGGGATCCCGGACCCTGATGTTGAAGGTCCCACCCTTCCAGAAAAAGGGGCCAGCCCTGACCTCATTATAGGCATCATGGATGACACAGCCTCTCCAGCACCAACCCCCATAGGTGTTGACATCTTGATTACACCTGTCTGGGTTCCACTGGTTGTAAGCAAAACAGACATAGGGTCCGCCATCGTTGAACACTGACTGGAGGTCGACAGTCATCAGGATCTCCATCTGGCATCCAACCAGAGGGCAGTCCTGAGATCCTACCTGCCAGGTGACTTGTTTGCTGTCCTGGTAGTAGGTTTCATGGACCTTGAACCTCCACACATAAGCGGGTGGGGGTGGGTGTAAGTTACTCAGGGCCGGGAGGAGAAGGAAAAGGGGGAGGGCAACTAAGGCGGACCTTAGTGGGGCCCAACACCTCACATTTATAGAAGTCATGCTGCTCCGCGGTCCTCTTGAGTCTGGAGAGGTGGTGCCATGACGAATCGCCAAGCAGCTTGGCCGTGGTGGGGTTGTAAGGATTACAGTGTGAGGTCCCATCCACCTAGGCTCCAAGGCTTTGGGATGTAGATTCTTAAGGATGACCGAGTCACCAGGGTGAAGGGCTGGTCCTCGGGAGCCCTGGTCAGTCAGTTCTGGCTTGGGCAGAAACCTGTCCACATGTTCTCAGAGCAGCTGCCTGAGTAATGACAGATATGGAAGATAAGTACCCAGGGGAGGAGAATCAGTAGGGAGATGGTGGTTGAGCAAGAAGGGTCTCCCATATAGAAGTTTAAAAGGACTTAAGAAGGTGGGGCTCCTTGGTGTAGCCCAGATTCTGGTCATGGCCATGGGCAGGAGATCTGGCCAGGAGCTGCAAATTTCTAGAGAGAGTTTAGTTAGATGGTCTTTAAGGAGTCCATTAATTCTCTCGATCTTACCCGATGACTGTGGTCAGTAGGGTATGTGTAGTTTCCAGGAGATGCCAAGAGAGGTGCTAACCTGCTGAATGACCCTTGATATAAAAGCTGGGCGATTGTCTGATTGGATGGAGGTGGGGAGGCCGAACTTTGGGGTTATGTGTGTTGTTAGGGTCTCAGCCACCACTTCAGCAGTTTCCTTGTGGGTGGGAAAGGCCTCTACCCACCCTGTCAGGGTGTCTACCATGGTAAGCAGATACCTGGTCTTTTTGTGGGAAGGCATATGGGTGAAGTCTACCTGCCAGTCCTGCCCTGGGAGGTGTCCCCTCATTTGATGGGTGGGAAAGTTGAGGCTCATTCCTCCCTGGGGTGAGACAGCCGCACACATGGGACAGGAGGAGCAGGCACTCGTGATCACCTCTTGCAGTGTGGGCGAGGTGAAAAGGGGTTAGAGGAACCTCCAAAGTGCCAGTGGTCCAATGTGCAAAGACCGGTGGATCTGTTGGGCAATGGCCCCTGCCTGGACCCAAGGAAGGGCGATTTTGTTATTTATAAAGATCCATCCCTCAGGACCGGGAGAGCCTCCCCGCTGCAGGAGTTTATTTTTCTCATCTTCTGTATATTCAGAGGTAATGGAGGGAAGGGAAAGAAACAGGACTGGGGCTGGGGACCCTCTACCCTGAGTTAAGCCTCTGGCCACCACATCTGCTTGGGCGTTTCCCCGCGTAACCAGCGAGGAGTCAGTCTGTGGCTTCGGCAGTGCACGATGGCTACCTGGGAGGGAAGCTGTAAGGCATCAAGTAAGCGTGTTATGAGTCTAGTGAGCCTTTAGTAGAGAGAAAGCCCCTCTCCCTCCAAATTACCGCGTGGCAATGGGCTATCAGAAAGGAATACTTGGAGTCTGTATATATGTTTACCCTCTTCCCTTTGGCCAGATGTAGGGCGCCAGTCAGTGTAATGAGCTTGGCTTTTTGAGAGGTGGTACCCTCTGGGAGTCGGGCCGCCTCCAGGGTCCGCTGGTGTGTTACTACTGCTTAGGAGGCTTTCCTACGTCCCTGGGGGTCTGGGAATGAGCTACCATCCACAAACAGAGTAAGGTCAAGATTGGAGAGAGGAGAATCTGAGAGTCCTGCCCGAAGTGAGTGAGGGCCTCAACGACCTCGGGGCAGGAATGCGTTGAGGCAGGTTGGGTGGCAGCAGTGGGAAGGAGAGTGGCTGGGTTTAGGGCTGGGGACTGGGTCAGGGAGATGTCAGGATTCTCGAGGAACAGGAGATGGAGTTCCTGCATGCGAGAGGGGGCAAGGAGAGATAAGGATCTGTGGGACAGGAGACCCTGTAGTCTGTGGGTGGAGAAGACCTGTAAGGGTTGTTGGAGGCAGAATTTTGGGGCCTCCTTGGTGAGAGCGGCAGCTGCAGCCAGAGCCCGGAAGCAAGGCTGCCATCCCTCAGACCATGGGGTCAAGCTGTCTAGACAGGTAGGCTACAGGGGTGAAGGCTGGCCCTAGGGGCTGGGTGAGGACCCCAATAGCCATTCCCTGTCTTTCATCAGTAAATAGTTGGAACAGCTTAGAGGTGTCCGGGAGAGAAAGGGGCAGGGGGGGATGCCAGAAGGGTATCCCGGAGCTTAGAGAAAGCCTGACGAACCAGGAGGGTGAGGAGAGGGGGCCCGCTGGTGTTTCTTTAGCAGCCTGGTATAGGGGCTTAGTTAGGAGAGCAAAGTTTGGGACCCAATGGCAGAAGAATCCTACCAGTCCCAAAAAGGATAAGATCTGGTCTGAAGAAGTGGGAGGCTGTAGGTCTCGTATTGCCTGTGCTCGGTCAACTGTCAGTCCTCAGGAATTGGGTATCAGACAGATCCCCAAGTAAGTGATGGTGGAGGCCGACAGTTGTGCCTTGGCAGGGGACACGTGGTATCCCTTGTCTCCTAGAAAGTTGAGGAGACTAGATGTATGCCTCTGAGACATGTCCAGGGAGGGGCTGCAGAGGAGGAGATCATCCACATACTGGAGAAGAGTGCTGGGTTCTAACAAGCATTGTTGGAGGTCTCTGGCTAGGCCTGGCCAAACAGGTGAGGACTGTCTGTGAACCCCTGGGGCAGGACCGTCCAGGTGAGATGGTGGGATGCCTGCTCATCTGGGTCCTCCCAAGTAAATGCAAACAGATGGAAAGAGTCTGGGTCCAGAGGGGTGGTAAAGAGGGCATTCTTGAGGTCAAGGACGGAAAAGTGGATGGTACCGGACTGGATGCGTGAAAGGAGAGTGTAAGGATTAGGGACCACCGGGTGGATGGGGACCACCACTTCATTGATCAGCCGGAGGTCCTGAACCAGATGGTAGGTCCCATCTGCCTTCCTAAGTGGGAGGATGGGGGTGTTGCAGGGAGAGTTGATAGGTATGAGGAGACCCTGCTCCAGAAGCTGAGTAATGAGGGGTTTGAGCCCTCGGCGGTGAGTTAGGCAGATAGGAAATGGGGGACAGGAGGGAAACGAGGTGGGGTCCTTAAGCCTGATCTTGACCGAGGCATGGAGTCTAGCAACCACCGGGGTAGAAGTTTCCCACACCTTTGGGTAGAGAAGGGACACAGGCAGTGGGGGATCGGCGTCCCCATGAAGGGAGGGGGCCAGGAGCAGAAAAAACAGGGAGGCTGAAGGGCTCCAAGTGAGCTGCAGAGTGGCCCCTAGTTTGGTGAGGATATCTCGTCCTAAAAGGGGCATGAAGGCATGACTAAGAACAAGTGGGTTATAGAGCTATCATCGAGGAGACAGGGAAGGGGTCCGGTGGCCAGCGGGCAGGTGGATTTCCCATCACTACTCATGACTGAGATCATGGAAGGAAAAAGGGGCCCTGAAAAGGAGGGCAGGACAGAGAAGGTAGCCCCCGTATCAACCTGGAAGGAGCCCGGCTTACCCGCTACGTTTAGTGTTACCCTGTGCTCAGCGAGGGTGATGGGGGTCGTTGAGTCCAGGCACCTTTAGTCTTCAGCCAGTTCCAGCATGGCCAGTGGCGGGTCATGACCTGGAAGGGCGGGCCCTCAATCCTGAGACGCAGAGGGCCCATCACTTTTCCAGGGTCAGTCACGTTTCCAGTGGCCGCTTTGACTGCACGCCAGGCAGGACTTGGTTGGAGCCTGGGGCCAGGGGCTCTGCTTTGCCCAGTGGCCTTCATTTCCGCATTTGAAGTATTCTCGGGTGGCATTTGTCCCCTCATTGCACCCCCACTGCGCATAGCCCCCTTGGGACAATGCGTGGCTGCTGTCGGCCACAGGGCTGCAACCAGGGCTTGGCTTTGCAGGTCTACCTTCTGTCGAAAGCAGGCCTCCAGATCTGACTCTGCCTGCTCCTCACGGGCATTAAAGACCTTAAAGGCCATGTTCACTAGATCTCAGACTGGGGTCTGAGGGCCATCCTCAGCCTTTTTAAACTTTTTCTGAATATCTGGGGCCGACTGCAAGTTGAAGTGGGTGGCTAAAACTGTCCCTCCGGCCAGGGACCCAGGGTCCAGATGAGTATACAAGGTCAGTGCCTCAGTCAGCCAATTAAGGAGGACCGCGGGGTTCTCATCTGGTCCCTGAGTGATTTCTCTGTTTGTCATAATTAACTACCTTGTGGGAGACGGTCTGTAGGCTGGCCATCAGGCATTGGAGCATCTGGTCTCGGCGTCGGCACCCGTTTTGCCCTTCAGGGGTATCTAGTTGATACTCCCAGCCCGGCTCCTGGCGAGGAATGACCTGGGTCCCCACTGGCATATTGGCATCTGTAAGGTGAACCTGATCTGCGTGGTTCATTGCTGCCCCCAAGACTCTCTCCCTTTCATCTGACGTTAGGGTGGGAGAAAGAATGAATGCATGAATGTCATGCCAGGTGAGGTCATAGCCCGAGAGCGATATCGGAATTCCTTGATGAACAAGGTGGGGTTGGTGGAAAAGGACCCCAGCCGCTTCTCAATCTGGGAGAGATCCGACAGAGAGAAGGGAACATGGACTCGGACTACTCCCTCAGATGCCACAACCTCCCAGATGGGACAGAAGAGAGGAGGGGCCTGCAAATGTGTGTGTTTGCTGACTGGGGAAGCAGGCAGGGGTGGGGGATGGGGAGTCACCTGGCGACTTGAGCTCCCAGCTCCTGCAACGGCCACGGCAGTGTCCCAGGAGTGGGGTGGAGGAGGGGGAAGGTCAGCAGGTATGGGAGAAGGTGTTGGAGGGAGGTCAGGTAGGGAAGGGGGAGGAGAGAGTACGGACAGTGAGGCAGAAGGAGCTTTGGGGAAAGGGCCTGGGTAGGGAGGCGGACGAGTCAGAGGGTAGGAAAGATTTTGGGGGGGGTTCAGATAAGGCGGAAAGTGGAGGAGTATTGGTAAGCAGAGTAGGGAGCAAAGGCACTTTTTTAATACAGCTGTTCAATGAGGGGCGGGGGGCATGAGCTTTGGGAGTATCCACCGCGAGAGGGTCTGTCACGGGTTCCAGGAAGTAGTCTGTGTCGCCATCTGTCTGGTACTCTGTCCTGTTAGAAATTCCAGGACAGGTCCATTATCGGCATAACCATCTACCTGGTGCTCTGGCCTGTTACGGATTCCAGGAAGGGCCCAGTATCCGAGTCACCATCTGCCTTGCGGTGGCCTGCATCAGCTCCTGGGCTTCCCTCCCACCTAACAACACCAACAGTTAGTGATTCATGCCATTCTCCATGTCTCTCACACATATAGTTCTGGTCTTATTCGGACTAATTGGGTACCTGGGTCTATATTCCTGAGCAAAATCACCACACACCTGGGACCTTTAAAAAGATTCCTTGCGTGCTGGGCTTCCAATTCTCTGTGACTGTTTAAAATGGCCCTGCAATGTCTCTGGGAGACCTATGTATGGCTTCGCATGGGATATAGGCAGGATTTTCAGTGTGTTGCTTACTGCATTTTTAAGCACGGGCAGCAGAAATTCAGCACTCTTTTGGGGTCACCAACCTGCACCCAATCTGCACCCAATCCTGTAACCAGCCCCTCTCTTTGGCCTGAGCACGCCTACCAACTCCACCATGGTAATGACAGAATGGTACACATTGCTCCTATAAAATGACATCCCTCGATGCTTGGTGGTTTTCAGATATGCGTACCCTTGATGACCTGTGTCGTTTCACAAATGTCCTTAAAGTGAACACAAAGGTTTAAATCTCTTGACTTTCCTGATTTTGTGGGGTTTTCTGACTCAAGTGAATAATGAGCCATTTTCTGAGGTCACCTCTGGCCGCTTACAGAAAGAGGAAGTTCCTCTCCTTATAAAATTCTACTTTAAAAATCACCAGATCCATATTTACCTTGAGCTTCCTCTTTTATGTATCTTCCCCCGAAAAATCTATTTTGGAAGAAAACATCATGATTATTCAGCACAATGACCTCTAAAGCTTTATTCCTTCTCTTTTAAGTGAGATGGTAACTTTTTTGAGGACAGAAACTCTGTCTAGTCCTTTGAGTCTTCCATAGTCCTAACTAGGGACCTTGCATGCAGCTGGCAATGCATTTTATTGGCTGTTTCAGATAACATTCAGCAGATAATTCCCGATAAAAACTCTTAGAAGTAGAAAAGAAAATGAAAGTGCCTACCAGAAACCTACACAGCAGGTTTGTTCTAGGTCAAGAACAAGAGTAGGATGCCTGTTATTACTGATACTATTCATCATTGTTGAGGAGGTCCTAATCAATTTAACAGGAAAAATGATGTACTGGAAGGACAGAGACAAAACGTATTTGCACGTGAGATAATGCACAACCTAAAAAGCCCAGGAGCATAGATTAAAATTTTATCCAGTAAGATGGCTAAATCAAGACATGCAAATCTCAATAGCTTTCCTACATACCACAAATAACTAAGAAAAAAATGAAAGAGTCCATTTACAATATCAATAAAATGTATAAAGAATAAGCTTGACAAAAAATGTGCACGACCCATTAAAACTCTTCTGAAGGACTTTAGAAAGAATACACAAAGTGAAGTACCATGTTTCTAGAAGGTAGTAAAGATACCAATTCTCGTCATAGCCGGTTTGGCTCAGTGGATAGAGCGTTGGCCTGCGGACTGAAGGGTCCCAGGTTCGATTCCAGTCAAGGGCATGTACTGTGGTTGCGGGCACATTCCCAGTGGGGGGTGTGCAGAAGGCAGCTGATCAATGTTTCTCTCTCATCAATGTTTCTGACTCTCTGTTCCTCTCCCTTCCTCTCTGTAAAAAATCAATAAAATACTTAAAAAAAAAAGATGCCAATTCTCCTTAAATTAATCTACAAATGCAATGTAATCCTATTCAAATTCCACGATGATTTTTAAACATAAACTGACCAACTGACATTTGGTAGAGAAAATATGCAATGAAATGTATGAAAAAGATCAAAAAGGAGGAGTTTAACTGCCAAAAAGGAATTTAAAATGGAACTGGAATTATATAGTGACACAGGCCCTAGCCAGTTTGGCTCAGTGGATAGAGCGTTGGCCTGAAGACTGAAGTCCTGGGTTCCATTCTGGTCAAGGGCACATACCCGGGTTGCAGGCTCCATCCCTAGCAGGGGATGTGCAAGAGGCAGCTGATCAATGATTCTCTCATCATTGATGTTTCTATCTTTCTCTCCTGCTCCCCTTTTCTCAGTAATCAATATGTGTGTGTGTGTGTGTGTGTGTGTGTGTGTGTGTGTGTATATAGTGACTAGAGGTCCGCTGCACAAAAATTTGTGCACTCGTGCTGGGTCCCTCAGCCCGGCCTGTGCCCTCTCAAAGTCTGTGACCCTTCGGAGGATGACCACCTGATGGCTTAGGCCCGCTCCCTGGGGGATTGGGCCTAAGCTGGCAATCAGACATCCCTCTGACAGCCCGGGAGCCCTCAGGGGATGTCCACTTGCCAGTGGGGAGCAGGCCTAAGCTGCAGTTGGACATCGTTAGCGCTGCTGAGGAGGCGGGAGATGCTCCCACCACCACCGCTGTACTGGCCGCCATCAGCCTGGCTTGTGGCTGAGCAGAACTCCCCCTGTGTGAGTGCACTGACCACAAGGGAGCAACTCCTGCATTGAGCGTCTGCCCCCTGGTGGTCCGTGTGTGTCATATTGGCCAGTCATTCCCAGTCGTTCTGCTGCTATGGTCAGTTTGCATATTACCCTTTTATTATATAGGATAGAGGCCTGGTGCATGGGTGGGGGTGGGATGGTTTGGCCTGATGGGTGTCCTGGATTAGGGTGGGGGTTCCCATTGGGGTGCCTGGCCAGCCTGGGAGAGGGGATGATGGCTATTTACAGGCTGGTCAAGTTCCCCCCCACCACCACCACAGTGGGGACTCTCACCCCATGAAGGTTTGGCCAGCCTGGGTGAGGGGCTGATGGCTGTTTGTAGGCTGGCCACACCCCCTTTAGGGCAGGGGGTCCCCACTGGGGTGCCTGGCCAGTATGGATGAGGGGCTAAGGGCCGTTTTCAGGCTGGCCAAGCCCCCTTGGCGACGGAAGCTCCCAGCTTCTCCCTTTTTTTTATTCTGAGGTTTATTTACCTTCTATAATTGAAACTTTGTAGCCTTGAGGGGAGCTCAGAGCTGGCCAGTGCAGGCGGGAGGGAAGCGTGGCTTCCTCCATCACCAGGGGCAACCCTAGCCTCCTGCTCGCTCCAGCTCCGTGGCCACAGCCAGCTGAAAGCAGGTATCTGGGGTTTATTTATCTTCTATAATTGAAACTTTGTTCCTTTGAGTGGAGCTCAGAGAAAGCCGCGGCAGGCACTAAGCTTGGCTTCCTCCATCACTGGGGCAACCAAGCCTCCTGCTCGCTCCAGCTCCATGGCTGCTGGCCGCCATCTTGGTTTGGTTAATTTGCATATAGTCACTTTGATTGGCTGGTGGCTTAAGGTGTAGGAAAGGTATGGTCAATTTGCATGTCTATCTTTTATTAGATTAGATACTGCTACTGGTACAAAAAAAGATAACTGGGTCAACAGAATACAGTCCACAGAAAGGTAGATTTCAGATCAGTGAAGAAAGAATGAGATCTTCAATAAAACATTTTAAGACAATTGGATCTTTATGTAGGGCAGAAGTTCTCAACCTGTGGGTTGCGACCCCTTTGGGTGTTGAATGACCGTTTCACTGGAGTCGCCTGAGACCATCGGAAAACACCTATATAATTACATGTTGTTTTTGTGATTAATCACTATGCTTTAATTATGTTCAATTTGTAACAATGAAAACATATCCTGCATATCAGATATTTACATTACCATTCATATAGTAGCATAATTACAGTTATGAAGTAGCAATGAAAATAATTTTATGGTTGGGGATCACCACAACATGAGGAACTGTATTAAAGGGTCGCGGCATGTGGAAGGTTGAGAACCACTGATGTAACGTGTATGTAGGTTCAGCACCCTGAACTTATAGAAGGGTAAATAGTTGTTTTTTTCAATTTGAAAAAACAAGAAATGTTATAAAAAGGACTAGAAGAAAATATCAGACTACTTTCATACTGTGAGGGGTCAAAGACCTCGCTAATAAAATCCACACCCCATAAACCAAGAGAAGATCGACAGATATGGTGACAGACTGTCTACACACAGCCTACTCTTCACAGCCCTTGCCCTCTTCCACCCTGGGTTGTCTTCTTCCTGTTGATTTATGGAACTCTTTTTACATTAAATAACTTAATCCTTAGTGGCTTTCATTGAATTTCAATGTTTCAAATATTCCCCAGTGTTCTTTTTTGTTGTTGTTAATCCTCACCTAAGGATATTTTTTCCATTGTTTTTCAGAGAGAGTGGAAGAGAGGGAGCAGGAGGGAAGAAAGAGAGAAATAGGAATGTGACAGAGGCACATCAACTGGTTGCTTCCTGCATGGCAGGTGCCCTGCAACCCAGGTACCCACCCTTGTCCTGGAATCAACCTGGGACTCTTCGGTGCTTGGACTGATGCTCTAACTACTGAGCAACAGCGGCCATGGCCTGTGTTTTTGTCTTTAAGGAGACAGAACAGTGGGGTAAGAAGCACGGACTTCGCAGTCAGGCAAAACAGGGTCCTGCTTTTGACTTTGCCACTGGGAACTTAAGTCGATCTCCATCTATGGAAAAAGGTGGTACTATCTTCCTCACAGGATTGTGGGGATTGAATCACTCAATGGAAAAAAATGTATACGGAAAAATCTTCATCTGTGCTTGGCATCAACCAGTGCTAAGTTTGCTAATGGTGTCACAGACAAGGTGGTCAAATCTATCAAAGTTTCTGCCTGTGGTATCAGGCTCAAAAAGCTGTTTCCGGCCCACCAGACTATAAATATATTGCTTCTATTTTCTTCTAGTACTTATACAGGTTCTATTTTTTTTTTTTTACATTTACGTAAATATATTTGTTTAAGATGAGAATATAGATTTGCTGTTATTTTCCCCTCAAAGAGTAAAGTAGTTTTTCTATTCCCATTTTTCATTTTCTTCTAAAGATTAGAATATTAAAATGTGACATTTCAAAAGTCTTAGGAACACATAGGTCTGAAGCTGCTTGGTCTTTACACATCTCTGTTCTGCTCCATGATGTGTTCATTTAGGTATTTCTCTCTTGGGGAGGCACATTTTAAAAAATAGTTTACCATAATTTTAAGTTCTCAGGGGAGGCAAATGCCTTACTATTACCCTAAAGAAACATAGTGACACAGCTCACAAAAAAACTAGGAACAGCATGGCTGGAAGACTCCGGGAAAGCTTCATAAAGAAAGATGAACCTGAGCTGGCTTTTGGGAGATTCACAAGACTTCCCCAGGGAGAGCAAAATAAGGGAAATTTACATGAGCAAAGGCATAATAAAAAAAAGAATAAAGCATATCTCAGTGCTCATGATTAAAGAAGGGTATCAAGCAGGAGTAGCTGGGACAGGGGCTTTGATTTTCAGGTTGTGGGTTCTGAACCTCCTCTAAAGATGGAATATATATTGGAAATCTGAATTAACTATTGTCTTACCGCAATGAGACAGAAAACTATAAAATAAAATGTTGTTACTGCAATCACAGGTGCTGCCATGATCATTTTGTTTTTATATCCTGGAACTTCTTTTCTGAGCTAGAAGAGGAAGAAGAAGGAGAAGAAGGAGGCGGAGGAGGAGGAGGAGCAGGAGAGGGTAAAGGAAAAGCAGGAGGGGGAGGAGGAGAGGGAAGAGGAGGGGAGAAAGGGGATGGGGAGAGAAAGAAGTGTGGGGAAAAGTGGGAGGAGGGAGAAGAGGAGGAGGAGGAGGAGGAGGAGGAGGAGGGGGAGGAGGAGGAGGAGGAGGAGAAAACAACAACATTAAAAAAAAAGTCGCAGATACGGAAAGCATAAAAATGAACTATTCTCAAGCCTACTCTAATGAATTGCTAAATATTCTTGACTACTACTCTAAAACCCCACCCTTCCACATGGTTCTTAAGGAACATGCCAAATCTTATAGGTTCTTAAAGAACATATCACATCTAATGTGTTATGTAATCTGATCATTAGCATTTTCTTGTACAATTTGTTATCTTGGAATTTAGGTCCTCTTCTCATCTACCCTAGGAACAGTGGCACAAATCTCTAAATGAGCAAAGTGGAAGATCACTGTCTAAGCCAAAGTCACATGATCAAGACACGATTGAGAGGAGGTGCTCCTGGTCTTCCTACCTGGGTACTTTCATGGCATGTCCTAAACTGACTATCAGTCCAGGTCAGGTGTTTCAGGACCTGTCCTTACCTCATTAGTCTCCTTCTCTTCCTGCTTCCTGAGGGCATGCATCCTCTCATCTTTCCATTGTTCCGCATCCCAGTCTGCGTTGGATATCTTTACTTCCTGCTGCCCAGTGAGCAGTCTCATTAGAAGGCCTATTCCAGAAAATAGAGTTTCCTCGGTTAATTTTTGAAACTTGAATGGTTAAGTTCAGGTTTAAGAGAAGGATTCCTTCTGTTGTTTTTCAGATGATTCAGGGACATATCTGCATCTTTTACATTTGAAAGAGGCAGTTTAATGAATGGTAATAAAGTTGATTCTATATCTTCTAGATTTCCCTCCAAGAAATAAGGCAATTGTTAATTTAGTGCACTATTAACATCACTTTTATCATTAAAGTCTAGCTGCTCACTCATAACGGATGAGGAAGTGTCGCTATTTTTGATAGAGGATGTCCTCTCTGGCTCAATGGTCAGCTCAGTGCTGGTGTTCTGTCGACCCTGAAATGTGTTCATTAGCGGTCCTTCTATTATGAGTTCTTCATCTGTCAAAAAAGAAGACATCACATTTGATATTGAAAGACTCATGGGACAGCTATTTGTCAGTCCACAGCCATACATCCCAGTGCAATATATAGGGAATCAGCAAATATTTGAGTGCCATTTGGAGAGGAGAAAAATAAGCCCCGACTTACAGCTATGATTGTTGACAAAACAAAAGGAGAAACTGTGTCTTTTTTTAAGTGAGTATTTACTTAGAACATTCCATAGCATGACATTTGGTGACCATATTTAGGATTATTCCATTGGTCCCAAGGGCCAACTGCCGCTTCCTGGAGAAAAGCCAGGGCTGGAAGACCCACTCAGTCAGACGCTCTGCAGGTCTACTGTGCCTCCTCACATTCACGCACCCATCCTGTCCTGCTTCAGATGCAGAGGGAGCCTGAGCCTTCCTCTCTCCACTCTTCAGGATGCTTGTGTTCTTGCTACCATCACAGATGACCACGATTAACACCCGCGGCTAACACGTCCTCATCTGGACACATTCTTCTCCACTAACCCACCGATTCCTCACTTGGGCCCTGCCTCCACATATGCCAGCCCCATAACCGATGGCTCTATACAGAAAAAACAATATGTCTACCCTCGCTCTGTGCTTAAGATTCAGGTAGGCACTCGGGATGTACGTTAAGAGACTTGCCAGGTTGTGTACCACTGTGGAATCTTCTCTCTATATATAAGAGCCTAAGCAACCATCACAACCGAACAGACAACCGAACAGGCCGTGTGGGGCAACTAGGCCGGCTGAGGGGTTAGTGAGGGGCGACCAAACGACCGAGCAGCAGGCTGCATGGGGCAACCAGGCCCATGGGGGGCAGTTGTAGGCAACCAGGCCGGCAAGGGGGAGAGTAAGTGGCGACCAGGCTGGCAGAGGGGCAGTTAGGGGCGACGAGGCTTGCTGGGGAAGGGCAGTTGGGGTCAACTAGGCTGGCAGGAGGGGCATTTGGGGGTGACCAGGCCAGCAGAGAGGGCAGTTAGGGGTGATCAGGCAGGAAGGTGAGCAGTTAGGAGCCAGTGATCCCATATTGTGAGTCAGACATCCCCTGAGGGGTCCCGGATTGGAGAGGGTGCAGGCTGGGCTGAAGGGATCCCCCCGATGCAGGAATTTCATGCACTGAGCCTCTAGTGTTCAATAAATCTATGAAATAATATTTGGGGTCCAGAAGTGAGAAACAACTTTTGTCAGTTGCCTACTTTGCTATCATTTCATGCCATTTCTTATATTTTTAGCTGTACTTGGGGAACCATCCAAAGATTCTGACTGTGTGAAGGTCAAGTGTGCCATTGTGCAGCTGGTACACAAGAATTTTCAGAAGAATTAAAAGTATTGCTGGTGGTGATAAGGGTGAGAGAAGGAGGTAACGTCCTGGGAAAGAGCATGGGCTTACAGAGAGCCCCAAACTGGGAGCTGGAGACCTGGGCCCTAGGTGACAGCTCTTAGCCCTTTCTGATCTTGGTTTTTTTTTTACCTGTAAAAGAAGATTAAAATGCCTATTCTGCCCACTGTTGGGACAGAAGGGAATAATATAATTGGTAGAATCACTGTTTTGAAAAATAAGCTACACTGACTTCATGTAAGTAGCACAGCAGTATTATTTTTGATGTGCCCCAGGTCACGATGGAAATCTGTATTTAAGCTATCTGGGCATGAAAGCACATTTGGGAAGTTATCAAGTAGCTGCCAATAAACCTAATGTGTAGAAAAATACTTAAAAGCACACCACTGTTTGGTGGATAGAACACCTTGTGCTTCAGAGCAAGGTCAGAGTTGGACAGTCTAAAAAGAAAGAGCCCTCCCATGCCTTAGAAGGGCTGGGTAGCAGCTTCTGGTGATGGATCCAAAAACTCTCAGGTTCCAAATAAAACTTACATAAAACAGCACCATTTTGTACTCTTCATAAACTTGCAAAAACAAAAAAAATAAAAATGTATCTATATCTGTCTACACTGCAAAGGGCAATTGAAACCTAATGCATACAAAAGAGTTTACAAACTATGACACACTAATGAACAAGTTCTCATTTGGAAGTAAAGCACCCAGCAGAGAGCACAACACACACGATGTGGCCATTAATGGAAATACCCTTCCCTTCACCTGACTTTTAGCAAAGAGTAGTTCTTAAAATTTTAGAGTTGAACTCTGATTAAATGAATAAAAATGATACAGTTACTTTATTTGTCTAAAAATGTATTGTCATTGATTACAAATATACTAATAAAAGGGTAATATGCTAATCAGACCGGACATCTTCCAGACAAAGCCACGATGGGAGGGGCTGAGGCAGAGGCAGTTAGGAGTAATCAGGCTATCAGAGGAGGGCAGTTAGGGGCGATCAGGAAGGCAGGTAGAATGGGTAGGGGCAATTAGGCAGGCAGGCAGGTGATCAGTTAGGAGCCAGTGGTTCCGGATTGCGAGAGGGATGTCCCGGATTAGAGAGGGTGCAGACCAAGCTTAGGGACCCCCTGCCTGTGCACAATTTTGTGCAGAGGGCCTCTAGTGAAAACATAAAATAAAAAAAAGTCTGTCATTGTGCAATTCAGACTCACCACAAGGTGTGTCGGTCACACATTCGGTCTCACAATGCAGTTTGACCGTCTTGGCAACAGCCTCAATATTATTTTTAAATTGGCAGAGGCAGCAGGCCAAATGGTTAGGTAAGATACTATAAATGGAAACATACAGAATTATATTAGTGACAAAGGAGTTACTTGGAAAATAGTTGTTTTTTAAAACTTAAACATACACCTACTGTATGACATAGCCATTCCACTTTCAGGCACTTATCAAGAGAAATTGAAGTATATTTCCATGAGCAGACTTGTACATAAATATTCACAATAGCTTTATTTGTAATAGTCAAAAATTGGAACAACTCAAATAGTCATCAATGTTTAAAAATACTGATATATCCATTCTTAATGGAATACTATTCAGCAATAAAAAATGAATTATTGATATGCAAAAAACATGGACTAATCCTGTATAATAAAAGGATACTATGCAAATCGACCCAATGACCTAATGACTGGTCACTATGATGCACACTGACCACCAGTGGGTAGATGCTAAACACAGAAGCTGCCCCCTGGTGGTCAGTGCGCTGGCACAGGGGGAGCGCCTCTCAGCCAGAAGCTGGGCTCACAGCTGGTGAGTGCAATGGTGGTAGCTGCAGCCTCTCCTGCATCCGCAGTGCTAAGGATGTCTGAGTGCTGGCTTAGGCCCGCTTCCTACAGGGAGCCATCAGTTGGGATTCCCCCGAGAGCTGGGCTGAGAGACCCCACTCCAGTGCACGAATTTCGTGCATGAGGCCTCTAGTCTTAAAATAATCATCTGAGTAAAGGTAGCCAGTAAGAGAGGAGTAGATACTATATGATTTTATTTATATAAACTTCTAGAAAATGCAAACTAATCTATAGCAACACAAAGCAGATCAATGGTTGCACGGAAATTGGGGAGGGCAAGGAGGAGTGGGAAGAAAATATTATAAAAGGGACATGATACAGCTTTTTCAGGTTATAGACAGTTTGATTTTGATGATGGCTTTGTGGTGTACAGGAGGCAACCAATCAACCAACTGAAATGTCTCTCTCACATTGATGTTTCTCTCTCTCTCTCTCTCTCTCTCTCTCTCTCTCTCTCTCTCTCCCCCTCTATCTCTCTTCCCTCCACCCCCACTCTCTGGCTCCCTTCCATCATCACTAAAAATCAATAGGAAAAATATCTCCTGGTGAGTATTAAAAAAAACAAAAAACAGCCCAGCCTGCTGGTGTAGTTTAGAGGTTGAGCATCGAACTATGAACCAAGAGGTCTCGGTTGGATTCCGGGTCAGGTCACAGGCCCGGATGCAGGCTCAATCCCCAGTAGGAGACGTGCAGGAAGCAGCTGATCAATGATTCTCTCATCATTGAGGTTTCTATCTCTCTCTCTCTCTCCCTCTGCCTCTCCCTCTCTAAAATAAAAAATATGTATTTTTAAAAACTTCTGGTCTTCAGTGATACGTTTAATAGAAGACAAAACCTTGGAGAATGTATTTAGTAAACACATATCTTACAGAAAGGACTTTATATAAAACACTCTTAAAACTCAATAATAAGATAAATGTCAAATTAAAATGGATTTGAACAGACACTCCATTGAAAAATATATTTTCACATAGACATTCCACACCATCAGCTATTAGAGAAATGCAAGTTAAAATCACACTGCAATACAAATGCATTCCTACTAGAAAGGCTAATTTAAAAAATCAAACAGAAATATAAAGATCAGATGAAAAATGTGGAGCAATTGCAACTCTCATCTACCACTGGTGGGAAGGCGAGATGGTACAACCACTTTAGAACACAGTTTAGCAGTTTCTTTACTAGTTAGATATGCACTCAGCATATAATGCAGCAGCCCCACCCTTAGGTATCTTACTCCAAAGCAATGAAAACGTATGTTCACACAAAGACCTGCATGTGAGTATTTTTAGCATCTTTATTCATAATAGCCAAAAAACTAGAAACAGCTCAAATATCCATTACCTGATAGCTACAGAAACAAACGAGTATATACACACAATTGGAATACTACACAGCAATAAAAAAAAGAAATGTACTACTGATAGATGCAACAACTAAGATGGATCTCAAAAGGATCATGCTACATGAAAGAAGCCAACACATAAAAAGCTACACTCGCCCTAACCGGTTTGGCTCAGTGGATAGAGCGTCGGCCTGCGGACTGAAGGGTCCCAGGTTCAATTCCGGTCAGGGGCATGTGCCTTGGTTGCAGGCACATCCCCAGTGGGGGGTGTGCGGGAGGCAGCTGATCGATGTTTCTCTCTCGTCGATGTTTCTAATTCTCTGTCCCTCTCCCTTCCTCTCTGTAAAAAATCAATAAAATATATTTTTTTTAAAAAAAAAAGCTACACTCTACATCAATCATGTCAATCTCACAGCCCACGGACACATGCCTCATTTATTTGGCCCCTGTTAGCCTTTGAGTTTGACACACTTGCTCTCATGATTTCATTTATAAGACACTCTGTAAAAGGCAGGACTATAACATTAAAAAAACAGACTGGTGCTTGTCAGGGGCTGGAGATGGGAGGAGTAACTGACTGCAAAGAAATATGAGGGGCCCCGTGGGGATGATAAAAGTGTTCTGGATCTCTAATGTGATGGTGGTACATTTATCAAGACTACACATTTATCAGAACTCACTAAACTGTACGCTTTAAAAGAGAGAATTATATTAAATACAAATTATACCTCAATAAACCTGACTTAAGAAAATAAAAAAGCAAACCATAAGAACTAAGTGAAAATAAATATAAGAAAAATCAACTTACAGTTTCTCTAATTCAGGAGCTGTCATGAGAATGTTATCAAGTGTTGTCAATGTCACTTGTGTTGTTCCCAAGTCTCTGAAGGAGAAAGACCAAACATGCATGATATGACCCCAAAGACAAAAATTCTATTCTTAAAAAGACACTTAACAACATCTGTTTACCTAAATTCTGGCTTCTCTGTCAAGCCAGCTCCATAATTCAGGGTACTTTAGTTTACTTTCCATAGATAATCATTTTAGAGAGCTCTTCTTGAAGAAATTAAATGTATTGCATCATCAAATTAATGTCTTTGCATCATCAAATTAATGACTTGGGTTAACAGTACAATGTGTTATTTTGTTTTTGTGTTATCATCATCCTACTTCTCATTCTCTGTTCCAACTACTATGTGATCACTCTTTTAAAAAAGCACAGAATGTACAACTTATTCCTGTTTTCTTTCTGAGATCCATGGTATTTCTACATGCATCTACATGTCTGAATGTGTTCTTCAACACTGCTCCCTTCCTCTGCCTTGTATAGTCTTTATCATTTTTCTGTGCCAATAAATCATTTTAAATAACCCAGTTAAAATTTAAATTATGAGTTTGTTTGTCAAAATGCAAAATTGTTCATCTTGAACAAAAGTAAGAAAGAACAGAAATCATCTCATGAGCCATGAAATTGTTGCAATACTTACAAATATTTCAACGCTGGCAAATTAAAAAGATATGGATCTTGAACAGTCATCAGAGGATTATGATGGAGAATTCTGAAAAATGCAATAGAATTAAAATTTCCTGCATTTTTAATAACTGCCATTAAAGTTTATATTCATTTTGTTGGTTCACAATGTGAAGGTTGAAAAAAATCATTTTCTGTCTATTCCCAGAGGTCACCCTTAGAATCTGCAAAGCATTCTCTTTTGTTGTTGTTAATCTCACCTAAAGATATTTTTTCCACTTCTTTTTTTAGAGAGAGTGAGAGAAATAGAGAAAAAAAACATATCGATGTGAGAGAGACACATCAGTTGGTTGCCTCCACCAGATGACCCAATGAGAGCCAGGGATAGAACCTATAACTCAGCTATGTGCCCTTGACCAGGTATTGAACCCGCAACCCCTTGTTGTATGGGCCAATGCTCCAACCACTGTATAACACGGGCCAGGGCTATAAAGGGTTCTTAATTGGGGAACTATCCAAGTCTCTGAATGATAAATTTAAGAAAAAAAAGTAAAAAAAAAAAAAAAAAAAAAAAAAAAGAGGAAAGAAGTGGATAGCAAAGAAAAATATACTGAAGAACCTTTCAGATTGAAAACCCTATTGATGACTATGCTGACAGGAAGCTCCTGCTCTACAGGAAATACCATTTCTAATGTCCTCATAATTCAAGGTGCTTTTCTTTCATCTCCAGAAATTTTTTAAAATCCAGTATAAACCACCCAGTTAAGGAGAAAAATAGACCTAATTTCTTGCTTTTGGAGCCACAAATGGTATAGATGTAAGAGGAACAGGTGAAAGCCATGCTCCTATCACATACTCCCATGTGTATTCTTGCATCACAGTCTTTCTTATAATGATTGTAATCACCTATTTACTTGTCAATTTCTTGGACTATGAGTGCCTGACATTTACTAGGAATTTAATGGATGTTTGTTTAAAAAATAAATAATATTTTGATTACATATCAAATAAATAAATAAATTTCTTAATTGACGCAAACTTTTATTCCCAGTGCTGAAATAAATTTTCCTCTCAATTCAGTATTACCCCCCCCCGGCCCCAACTCAATTCTTGAAAACAAAGAAGCCCATGCCAAAGGTCAGTTCTGGGAAAGCAGAGCATGGCATATGTCAGTTAAACAAGTCTCTTGTACTCTTTGTACCTTAGTTTCCTCATTTAAAAAAGAAAGAAAAAAAAGAATGGCTCTTAAGCCATTCTTTTCGAGTTCAAACTGAGCTTATACCCAGCCAACCAATCACTGTATGAAGTTTTTACACATAGCTTTTTACATGTGTTCATCTTCTATTTCACTTACAACTTGTGTAACAGCTGCATTCCATGCCCGGTCTGAAATGTTCCAAAGTTCACTTTTGTAATTAAATTGCAACCAAGATTTCTATTTAAAAAAGACACAAGCAAAAGAAGAGAAAAAAATTCATTCAGGATACTTATCCTTTAGCAGAGATTCTAATTTATCCTATCTAATAAAGAGGGAATATGCTAATTGACCCTCACACTGTCGCAAAGTTGGTTGCACCCACAGCCAATAAGGAGGGAATATGCTAATTGACTGACCCACCCTCAAATATGGCAGCACCCACAGCCACAAGATGGTGGCACCCAGGCCCCTGAGCCCTGCTGGGGTGGCAGGCATGCGGGAAGGCCGGGCCCAACCCCAGGCAGGCCCAGCTGTTTTGTGTGCCTGCCTCAGGAGACCCCCCAGTCCCCTCAGCCCCCCAGCCACCCAGGGCCGGCCCGAGATGTAGGCAAGCCTCAGATGGTGGCTGCCCAGCCACCCAGGGCCACCCGAGGCTCAGGTAACCAGGGCCGGCCAAGGCTTGTGCTGCCAGCAGTGGCAGCAGCAGAGGTGTGATGGGGGAATCACCTTCCCCTGATCATCAGGTCGCCTCCCGCCCCTGAGGGCTCCCGGACTGTGAGGGGGGCAGGCCAGACTGAGGGACCCTCCTCCAGTGCATGAATTTTCCATGCACCAGGCCTCTAGTATATGATAAAACAACCTCAATACTCCCTCTATACACTAAAATTCTTTTTTTTAAAATATATTTTATTGATTTTTTTACAGAGAGGAAGGGAGAGAGATAGAGAGTTAGAAACATCGATGAGAGAGGAACATCGATCAGCTGCCTCCTGCACATCTCCCACTGGGGATGTGCCCGCAACCCAGGTACATGCCCTTGACCGGAATCGAACCTGGGACCCTTCAGTCTGCAGGCCGATGCTCTATCCACTGAGCCAAACCAGTTTCGGCAATATACACTAAAATTCTTACTATGGGAGATATTTGCTTATGGTTTATGCTTTCATGTTTATACATGTGGTGCATTAGATACAAAAAAATGCTTCTATTAAACTGATCTATATTTCTCTGAAATAAGGTTACACAATCTCAACACTATTGACATTTTGGGCTAGCTAGATAATTCTTTATTATGGGGAACTGTCCTTTGCCTTGAACAATAATTCTGGCCTCTGCCACTAGATGCCAGTAGCAAATCTACAGTTCTGACAACTAAAACTCTCTTTGGCTATTGCCAAGTGTCACCTGGTGCAAAATCACCCCGGTTGAGAACCACTGCAATAGAATGCTTCATTCTAAATGTGACAGAATTCTCACACTAATGTATGCTAGAGACAATTAGAATTTGCTATGTAACTTTAGTAACTTTCTACTAATAAAATTTTAATCATACTTCAAAACAAATAACAAAGAGGTTTACAATTATGTTTTATAAAATTTCTAAACACGATGAAGAAGTTATATTTATAACTTACATATATTGTAAAAGAGGTAATGATTCAAATGCATTCTTTTCAATAAATTCTATTTTATTGCAGGACAAGTCCCTAGAAAAAGTAAAAGAAAAATAGTGCTTCAATTACTAATTAGGTATCTAATTAGTAGCAATAACTGATAGAGGATAGAATAATATTGAATACTTCGGTTTAGTCTAAACTCTAAACCTTAGGAATTGTGATTTCAATCATCCAGTCCTTTTACGCTGCCCTCACCTCTCTTAAGAGCATCACCTACAGGATCTTCATAAATACAACACACAACTACAGATCTTGATAGATTTTGAAGGTAATTTTTCCTGAGAGCAGAAGAATTGGTTAGAGGACCATTTGTGGTCTCATAAAATTTAGATTATGAGCTCAAAGTTTATATCTTCGTGTATATTTATAAATTTCTAACATTAAAAGAAATAGTCTCACATCTACACACCTTCCTGGTTTACTTCTGTTTTTCTAGGCAAATTCAACACAGTCACCAGATTAACACTCCAGAAGTGGTTCTCAAATACCAGAAGAAATAAAAGATGCCTTTTCACATAACTTAAAGGAAGTGACTACTCTAAATAATACAGAACTTTAAACTAATACAGAACTTTGAACTAATGATACTTTCTATTATACTAATAGCAATTCATTTCTTATTTTACATTGTTTAAATACCTATGTATTTAATGGCTTCAGTTGTACAGTGGTCGGACAACAGAACACAACATGGTGCTGGATTTTTATTTGAAAACACCATCCCTTGTCTATAATTGACTGTCTTATTTCCATTGATTCCACTTTAGTCCCTCACTTTTCTCACTTTTCTCCTCACTTTTCTAACTGTCTTCTGACTGGTGTTTCCATCTATAATCTCCCCCTGGCTAAACCATCCTGCACACAGTCACCAGATTAACACTCCAGAAGTGGTTCTCAAATACCAGCCAGGATCACTTGGGAACTTATTGAAGATGGAAATTTTCAATCTGACTCTGATTGACTGAATTAGTGACTGCGGGTGCAGCTTGAGTTCGAACAAACCCTCCAAGTGACTCTGTTGGAGGCTAAAGTTTCTCTTTGAGCAATGCCTTGATAACGTAGTACTTGGCATTCAAAGTACTAGAAGATCTGGCTCTAATCTCCTACTCCCCCTATGTGTACTCTATAGCTACTCAAGGTATATTTTCTCAGGCTCCTTTTGCAAGCTTATTCTACTCAAGATGTCTGTCCATTGATCCACAAAAACCCTTCAAGGTCCTGTTCAAACAGCATTGCTCTACTGACATCTTTGCTGATCCAACATAAACTCTTTTTTCCCTCTGCTGTCACCAAAACCAAATTTATATATCCATTTCTTACAAAATTTTAATAGAGTTATTTTGCATCCTATCTCCTCTGAGTATAAACTCCTTAAAGTATGGACTGGGTCTTGCTCGTCAGCATTGTCTACTGACATGTGAACAGGTGCAAACTGAAATATTTATCAAATAAACAAATAGCTGGCAAGTAGAGACAGAAAAATGACTTTTAAAAGAAATGTAGTTTTATTATTTCATGGCTCCCTCTTGTGTGCCACTGCAGCACATAGTCTTCCATTTACTACTTGTGCTCTATGGTTTGAGTTGATATGTTTATTTTCTCTATGAGAGTATGAATTATCAGAAGGGTAGGAACCTTGACGTACCTATCTTGTGCCTATAGTTCTAGGTACAGTGCTTGGCATGTTCTGTTTTAGCTTGCTTATTGATTGGCATTTTTTAATGGATGGGAATACTTTATGCTAACATGAAATAGGTAGCTTACAAAGTATTGCACAGTAGAAGTAATGAATGACCTAACCCAGTGGTCGGCAAACTCATTAGTCAACAGAGCCACATATCAACAGTACTTCTTCAAAATAGACTCACCAGGCCGAAAATCGACATCTGTACAGGGCCACGAAGTTTCAATCGCACTGCACGTGTGCGCCCGCACGTGGTATTTTGTGGCAGAGCCAAACTCAAGGGGCCAAAGGCCCGCATGTGGATCACGAGCCGCAGTTTGCCGACCATGCACCCAACCTATTGAGCAGTTATTTCATTTTATTTCCTCCAAACTGTATGGAAGGTTTGGAAGCGAGATAGCAAGAAGACCAATATAAAAGTGGATGTCCCTCTGAAGTTTGAAAGGTTTGATAATACAAATGACTATTTTTAGTGTCATGTGAGGCGCTTTATACTTACTTGCCTGAAGCCTTCCATATTTGCAGAGAGAATCCATTTGCTAAATAGCATCATTAATTAGCTTAATAAGGATTAATGACATACACAGCTCTAGGTGCCATGGACAAAGAATCATAATTGAGTTTTTATAGTAAAGAACATCTCCCTATTTCTAAGTAAATAGAATACTAGGCAAGCATTTCTCCTTGACAAGGAGGCTGAAGAGATTTTTATTTTGTAATTAGTAAAGTTAGGGGCATTTCTGATATACTTACTTAGTGGAGACATTCCTAACAATACCACTTAGCCATCATTTTAAACATCTCCTTTTTGTATTGGTATAACAATTCCTGCATTGAAATCCTCAACACCAGTCTGCTTTCTTCGTAATTTAATATGTTCTTAATAATATTGTTTACATAATTCATCTGCTAAAACATTTAATTGTAAATGTTAATCTAATTTAGATTTAATTATCAAAAAATTATGGGTTAATGGCATTCAAATTAATGTAAATGCTTTATAGTTTCTTGTCCTATAGGAGGCAATTTGAGGTTAAGCTAAATTCCTCTCATTTGACTAAATCAACATTTTGAAACCTTTTATGTAAAGGTCAGACAGTAAACATTTTAGGGTTTGCAGGCCACAAATAGTCTGTCTTGCATATTCTTCTTTGTTTCTTTTCTTTCAAAGCCCTTTAAAAGTGTGAAAATCCTTCTTAACTTATGTGCTGTAAGAAACAAACAATCTGGGGGTAGAGGGAGGCGGCCGGGGAGAGGTAAATGGGGGGAAAAGGATACTTATGTAATACTTTAAAAAATAAAGAATTTACATTAAAAAACAGAAATGAGCAATCATAGGCCCAATTTGATTCATGGGCCCTAAACGAAATATAAATATAAGCAGAGGCTATATAAACCCTTATACAACAAGGCTCATATGGGTGTGTATCATTACTCAGACCTCATCACCACTTTTACTCCATAACTGAAGAGTTTTTCCTACCTATATTTTGTCTAGAGCAGCGGTTCTCAACCTGTGGGTCGCGAACCCTTTGGGGGTTGAACGACCCTTTCACAGATGTCGCCTAAGACCATCGGAAAACACATATATAATTACATAATTGTTTTTGCGATTAATCACTATGCTTTAATTATGTTCAATTTGTAACAATGAAAATATATCCTGCATATCAGATATTTACATTATGATTCATAACAGTAGCAAAATTACAGTTATGAAGTAGCAACGAAAATAATTTTATGGTTGGGGGTCACCACAACATGAGGAACTGTATTAAAGGGTCGCGTCATTAGGAAGTTGAGAACCACTGGTCTAGAGGATTGTAAAACTGAAAATCCATAGGAGACATTAAATGCTAGAGATGAGCTACACAGACTTATGGAATTGTAGAATTTTATTGCTGGGAGAAATTGTAGAAATTATTTCATTTGAACCCCTTATTTATTTTATAGATAATATAACTAAAAAAACTCATAAGTAAATACAATTAACTTACAAATACTGGAGGGAAGGCAGGCCTTCAAATGAATCTTTACGTAATTCTCTCAAATTATTTCCACTGAGATTTCTGAAAAATGAAAAGGTTATTTCTGGATCAAAATGCAAAATAACTACAACTATTTACTGTACAGAAATATATATGGGGAAACCTGGGCAATGGTGCCATTGAAATACCCTAATTTTTATTTAATTGAAGGAAAATAATCTGGGTTTTTTTAAATTCAAACCTTTCTTCTCACGTCTTCTTTGTGCAAATAATGGACCTTTCTAGAATTGATTCACTTTCCCTTCCTCAGCTTTCTTTCTCTCCAAAGAACTTGTCAATACTTGAAATTACATCTATCTAGTTAATACATATATATGTGTGTTTATATATACATATATTCATTTTCATATTATATACTTGTGAACCCCTTGAGAACTGCCGTAATTTGTCTATTTTGTTCTTGGGCCTGTAATCCTGGTACATAAAACAGTTCCTGGCAAGTAGCAGATGTTCCATAAATACTTTTTCCATGATTTCAGAAAATGACAAACATCATTTTCAGTCTACTACTTTTATTTAAAACAAATCATCCATTTACTATCACTCATGAGGGTAAGCACAGCTTTATAGCCAAAGAACTGTCTGTCTTCTCCCTTACATTTGTGACTAATAATCTTTGGAGACAAGAGCCCTGTGAGAATTTCATAAAAGCTATGGACCCTTTCCCTAGAAAACTGCACTTTCTTGAATACATGCAAAAGTGTGCATGTAATTTCCATTTGCTGATTACCCCTTCAGGCCATAGTCGGTGAATAGCATTGTATGGATTGAATTCAGGGGTCAAACCTGAATGGGAAATAAAATTTTCACAAACCTCTACCAAAAATTAGCATTGCCCTGAATTGTGAATGTAGGCAACAAACCATACTAGATTAACAGTATAGTTCTTCATTGGGTCTCCAATAAAATCACAGATGTTTTCATATATTTGTTGCAGATATCTCAAAATAACATTTATTCTCATCACTACATTGAAGTTATAATAGTTATTAGATCAACCACTATAGCTTGTGTTACTTATAAGAGGAGCAGATTTGCCATGGCTGGTTTTGCTTAGTGGTTAGAGTGTTGGCCAACAAACCAAAAGGTCATGGGTTCAATTTCCAGTCAAGGGCACATACCTTGGTGGTAGGTTCAATCCCTCGCCCCAAACCAGCAGGAGGCAGTCAATCGATATCTCTTTCTCATGTCTTTCTCTCTCTCTCTCTCTCTCTCTCTCTCTCTCTTTCCCTCTTTCCACTCTCTCTGAAAAATATTAATGGAAAAAATATCTTCAGACAAGGATTAAAGAAAAATGTAAAAAAGAGTAGTATCAATAATATTTTTATTGCTTTAATTTAAAAATATTTTTATTGACTTTACAGATGACTTTACAGAGAGAGAGAGAGAGAGAGAGAGAGAGAGAGAGAGAGAGAGAGAAACATCAATAATGAGAGAGAATCATTGATTGGTTTCCTCCTGCACAGCCCACACTGGGGATTGAGCCCACAACCGGGCATGTGTCCTCAATGAGAATCCCACCATCACCTCCTGGTTCATAGGATGACACTCAACCACGGAGCCACACTGGCTGGCCTATCAGTAATCTTTTTTAAAAAATATTTTGGCACTAGCTGGTGTAGCTCAGTGGATAGAGCGTCCGCCAATAGACCAAAGGGTCCCTGGTTCAATCCGGTCAAGGGCACATACCTTGAAGGCAGGCTCTTCCACAGCCCCAGCCTGGTCGGGACTCATGCAGGAAGCAACCAATTGATGTGTCTCTCTCACATCGATATTTCTCTCTGTCTTTACCTCCCTCTTACACTCTCTCTAAAAATCAATGGGAAAATATTCTCGGGTGAGGATTAAAAAAGGAGGAAGAATAGAAAAATAAAAATATATTTTTGAAATCTTCATTTTATAATAGATTCCCTTTATTTTCATATATATTTTAACTTATAAATGGTTTTAAAACATAGTACTCAAGAAAATAAGCTTCTGCCCTGGCTGGTTTGGCTCAGTGGATAGACCGTCGCCCTGTGGACTGAAGGGTCCTTGGTTCTATTCCGGCCAAGGGCAGTTGCCCAGGCTGTGGGCTCGATCCTCAGCAGGGGGTGTGCAGGAGGCAGCCGATCAGTGATTCTCTCTCACCATTGATGTTTCTCTCTCGCCCTCTCCCTTCCTCTATGACATCAATAAAGAAATATATTTTTTAAAAAAGAAAAGAAGCTTCTGCAGATCACCAAAGAGAAATTTGGGAGGAAAAATCGTAAGAAATGGTGCCCTGGGGGGTCCATTGAGGTTAGAAACCTCTTCCTTACAAGGTATAAATCCCAAGCTGACTTAGAAATCTTCAAACCTGCCTGGCCAGCATGGTTCAGTGGTTGAGTGTCAACCTGTGAAGCAGGAGGTCACGGTTTGATTCCTAGTAGAGGTACATGCCCAGGTTGCGGGTTCAATCCCCAGTGTGGGGTGTGCAGGAGGCAGCCGATTCTCTCTCAGCATTTTATTTCTCTCTCTCCTTTTTCCTTTCTGAAATCAATAAAAAATATTTTTAAGAAATAAATTTTCAAAAAATATATAAAGGTATCTGAATTCACAAGTAATGAGATAAATTCAAACTTAGGTGGGACCGCCTTTATTCACCCATTAGATCAGCCAAAAAAAATGGAGACTATCTAGTGGTGGAAGGATAGACGAAAACACATACTGTAGTTGCCCACTGATTGCAGTGTAAGTTGGCATAATTTCTTGGAGGGCAACTAAAATGTTGTATCAATAAAGTTTCACCCCAACAGTTCCATTTCTAAATATCTATTCTACACAAATACCTGCCCATGATCCCAAAGATGCATGTGCCCTAGCTGGTTTGCCTCAGTGGGTAGAGCATCAGCCTACAGACTGAAAGGTCCCAGGTTCGATTCCAATCAAGGACACATGCCCAGGTTGCTGGCTCAATCCCCAGTAGGGGGTGTGCAGGAGGCAGACAATCAATGATTCTCTCTCATCATTAATGTTTCTATCTCTCTCCTCTCCCTTCCTCTCTGAAATGAATATATAATATGGAAAAATAAATTTTACAAAAAGAATGTATGTTGCATCAAATACATGTAACAAGAAAACTGGACATAATCTAAACATCAATATGGAGATTATTAAACTATGGAATATTATGAAATAGTTTAAATGAATTGGGTAACCCTCTCTCTATCAAGGAGACAACGTGTAAGATATGAGGTGAAAGAATCAAGTGGTAGGATGTTACCACTTATGTAAAAAAAAAGATACGAAAATCACATAACATACCTATTTTACTATCTGTAAATATGTGAGTAGGCAAATGCATGGAAAAAGGTCTGTAAAGATATATAGTAAACAAAGTGTAGCAGTTACCTGAGGGTGAGGATGAGGGCACAAGCAGGATTTTCACTATACCTGCTATTTCATTTTTATATATTGAAAAAATTATCATGTATTACTTGTTATAATGGAAAATAAGTTTAAATTGACTCTGATTATAAAGAGGGCCTACCAAATTTAATTTTTCAAATAAACAAAATTGCAATCAGTAGACATTGATTTGGGATACAGAGGGGAAATACCTTTTCTCAGAGCTACTGACCTCAAAATTCTGGACCAAGAAGGATCTCACAATGCAGTTAGTTTTTAAATTCATTTTTGGAGGGAATATACTCACAGTTTCTCAACCAAAGAGTATGACTTCCATGTACATTTTCCAATGTAAGAAATAGCATTTCCTTGCAAGTTTCTATAAAGAAACACAGTTAATATCATTGAATAGGTAAGAAATGAATGAACAGAATAAGTAAAACAATCATGGTAACCTTGATATTCAAATGCAGAAAACACAAGCTTTCTAATTTCCACAACTATCCGCCTCCCAGTTTGCACAATTAATAAAGATATAATGTAAGCTCTAGTCTAGTTGGTTTGGCTCAATGGATAGAGCTTCAGCCTGCAGACTGAAGGGTCACAGGTTCAATTCTAGTCAAAGGCACATGCCTGGGTTGAAGGTTAATCCCCAGTAGGGGGAGTGTAGTAGGCAGCCGATCAGTGATTCTCTCTCATCATTGATGTTTCCATCTCTCTTCCCCTCTCCCTTCTTCCCTGAAATCAATAAAAATACATTTATAAAAGCATAATGTGGTGCCCCTGGCACAAATTGAGGCATCTCCTCAGAACCTGAACTTCTTCTCTTGGATATGTAATGCCAGTTATTTACTTTGAATGCATTTTTTCCAAAATCACTTGTTTCTAAAATGACTCCTAGAAATCAATGAGAAAAGAAGAACAAAAAAGAAAAATGGCTAAAAATGTATCATTTTAAGAAAAAAAATATAAAGAAACCTTATGCCATGCCACACGGAATGTTTGGCTCAGTGCCCTCTGTGGAAATCTCTCCAGGTGTTAGAAGAATAAGGGCAGTTAGAAATGAGGGGACTAAAATTAAGGCTGTTATAGACATATTTGACAGAAAAAAAATAGCACAAATCACTGAGCAAGAAGTAAAGAATTAGTTCATTAGGGGGGAAATGCAAAAAGAAAAGAGTTTGGAAGGATAGATACACACCAAAACGATAACAGGAGTGTTAGAAAGATTTGGGTGGGATTTTCACATTATATCCTATATAATTCTGTGACACTCAGAAACAAACAAACCACAAACAGTGAAAATGTGTCCATGAATTACAAGTGTTTAAAAGAAGCTGTTAAATTCCTGAGGTTCAGTTTCAAACACTAATTCTGTGATGACTTTGAATCTTTAGCTTTGTCCTCTTCCCTCAGCAAAAACTTACCTATTCAGTTTACGTATTTTTCAGGAGGGTCAGAAAAAGTCAGATATCTGTCTGCCCTCTGCCCAGTGGACATCTCCACTCAAGCAGAAGCCTTCTTGTTGCTTTATGCTCACCAATGAAAGAAGCCCAAACTGAGCTCACCTCAAACTGGCTCTCTTTCCCAACTGCTGTATGCCCACCTGTCATTTCACCATCATTCTCCTCATCATCCAGGACAGAAATTTTCCAGGGTCATATTTGATCTTTCTCTTTCCTGTACATCCCATCCCTCACTCCAGTCAGTTACTAAACCTTGTCAGTTCTTCCTTTATAGTGTTCCGAGGATTTTCTTTCGACTCCTATCATAACCACTCTGACTCAGCGTCTTCTCACTGGACTCCTAGAGTATTCTAATTGGTCTCTCTGAGTCAAAATTACTTCTCTAGATTGCTCTACTTATGGAATCTAAAATAATCCTCTTATTTTACTCATATGTCTCTCTCACTTGAAAACTTTCAGTGGGTCTCCTTATCTCAGTGTAACTTCCAAACCTCTAGAGCTGATAGTCAAGGTTTTTCATAACCATATTTTTCACTGCTTCCTAAACCAATTCTTTATAACCAGTCTGGTCTATTAAGTCCTGATCATTCCTGTAGCCATGCCTTTGCCCTAGACCAGCCGTGGGCAAACTATGGCCTGCGGGCCGGATCCGGCCCCTTTGAAATGAATAAAACTAAAAAAAAAAAAGACCGTACCCTTTTATGTAATGATGTTTACTTTGAATTTATATTAGTTCACACAAACACTCCATCCATGCTTTTGTTCCGGCCCTCCGGTCCAGTTTAAGAACCCATTGTGGCCCTCGAGTCAAAAAGTTTGCCCACCCCTGCCCTAAACTGTACTATTTTATCAAACCATAGCCACCCTTTAAGTCCCAGCTAAACTTCTGGCTTATCCATGCAGCATTCCGACTTCCATACCCTAATAACTACAGATTCTGCTGAATTATAGCACCTCTGGCCTGTATCTCTTTTAGTACTTAATTATATATCACCTACTTTTTTAATGCATATTCCCTTTCTTCCCACCTACCACTGTCATGTTCCATAGACAATGTCATACTCCTGTGACTCCCATAGTACTTAGACCTGGGCTGGGCACAAAATGGGTGATTTATATAGAAAGCCAGGGGGCAAAGATAAGTTCTAGATATGACTGAGGAATCTACACTAATAAAAGACAAACATGCAGATATGCATTCTAGGGGAAAACCAAGATGGCGGCATAGGTAAACACCGGAGTTAGCTGCCTCGAACAACCACTTCACAGATACAATTAAAAGATGGAACGGACATCGCCCAGAACCACAGGAAGACTGGCTGAGGGGAAATTCTTCAACTAGAAGGAAAGAGAACAGCATACGGGACTCAGAGGAGGCGCAGTGCGGAAGATACAGAGGTGCGGAGGTGCATGCGGAGAGGGCTGGCGGCTGAGGAAACGATTGTCGTTTTCAATCGGGAGGGAGTCTCAGATTCTGAGCTCCAGTTCTGGGCAAGTCTCTAGGGACCCGGACTCAAACGGGAGAAGCGGGACTGTCTAGCATTGGTCGGAACGCGAGGGCAGCTTTCTCTCCGAGGTTTGCAGCAGTTGCTGGGACTCTGAGAGGCAGAGCCTCTGTGGATGGGACTGAGAGCAGCCATAACTGCTCCCTACACCCGCCCTGTTGATCCCGTGAGACCCACCCCACCCAAGTCCTGCGCAGAGCCATTTGCCAGATAGCCTCAGGCAAAGGCTAGATTAGCACCTCCCTAGAGGACAAAAGTTCTCCCACTGCAGACAGAGCTGATTCTCACAGCCAGTTGGCCTGCAGGTTAAATCACCCCCAGTATTACCTACAACAATCAAGGCTTAACTACAACAAGACTGCGCACAAAGACCACTAGGGGGTGCACCAAGAAAGCATAAAAAATGCAGAGACAAAGAAACAGGACAAAACTGTCAATGGAGGATACTGAGTTCAGAACCACACTTTTAAGGTCTCTCAAGAACTGTCTAGATGCCGCCAATAAAGTTATTGAGATCCTCGAGAAATCTAATGAGACCCTCGATGTTGTGATAAAGAACCAACTAGAAATTGAGCATACACAGACTGAAATAATAAATGTTGTACAGACTCTCAACAGCAGACCAGAGGAGCGCAAGAGTCAAGGCAAAGATTTGAAATGCAAAGAAGCAAAAAACACCCAACCGGAAAAGCAAAATGAAAAACGAATCCGAAAATACGAAGATAGTGTAAGGAGCCTCTGGGACAGCTTCAAGCGTACCAACATCAGAATTATAGGGGTGCCAGAAGATGAGAGAGAGCAAGATATTGAAAACCTATTTGAAGAAATAATGACAGAAAACTTCCCCTACCTGGTGAAAGAAATAGACTTACGAGTGCAGGAAGGGCAGAGAACCCCAAACAAAAGGAATCCAAAGAGGACCACACCAAGACACATCATCATTAAAATGCCAAGAGCAAAAGACAAAGAGAGAATCTTAAAAGCAGCAAGAGAAAGAAACTCAGTTACCTACAAGGGAATACCCATACGACTGTCAGCTGATTTCTCAACAGAAACTTTGCAGGCCAGAAGGGAGTGGCAAGAAATATTCAAAGTGATGAATGCCAAGAACCTACAACCAAGATTACTTTATCCAGCAAAGCTATCATTCAGAATTGAAGGTCAGATAAAGAGCTTCACAGATAAGGAAAAGCTAAAGGAGTTCATCACCACAAAACCAGTATTATATGAAATGCTGAAAGGTATCCTTTAAGAAGAGGAAGAAGAAAAAGGTAAAGATACTAATTATGAACAACAAATATGCATCTATCAACAAGTGAATCTAAGAATCAAGTAAATAAATAATCTGATGAACAGAATGAACTGGTGATTATAATAGAATCAGGGACATAGAAAGGGAATGGACTCACTATTCTTGGGGGGGAAAGGGGTGTGGGAGATGCGGGAAGAGACTAGACAAAAATTGTGCACCTACGGATGAGGACAGTGCGGGGGTAAGGGCAGAGGGTGGGGTGGGAACTGGGTGGAGGGGAGCTATGGGGGGGAAAAAAAGAGGAACAAATGTAATAATCTGAACAATAAAGATTTACTAAAATAAAAAAAATAATAAAAAAAAGACAAACATGCAAATTTACTGTACCTTTGCTACACCTTAAGCCACGACCACCAGCCAATCAGAGCAACTATATGCAAATTGACCCAACCAAGACGTCGGTCGGTGGCCATGGAGCTGGAGTGATGTGATGGAGGATGCCCAGCTTCCCGCAGCCAGCAGTAGCCTCAGCAAAAGGCAACAAAGTTTCAATTATAGAGGCTAAATAAATCCCAGAATAAAAAAAAAAAAAGAAAAAAAGGAGAGGCTGGGAGCTTCCATTGCCGGGGGGCTTGGCCAGCCTGAAAACGGCCCTCTACCCCTCACCCAGAATGGCGAGGCACCCCAGTGCGGACCCCCCCCCCACCCTAAAGGGGGTGTGGCCAGCCTGCAAACAGCCATCAGCCTCTCACCCAGGCTGGCCAAACCTCCATGGGGTGAGGGTCCCCACTCGGGGGGCGGCAAGACCAGCCTGCAAACAGCCATCAGCCCCTCACCCAGGATGGCCAGGCACCCCAGCGGGACCCCCACCCTGATCCAGGACACCCTTCAGGGCAAACCAGCCAGCCCCCACCTGTGCACCAGGCCTCTATCCTATATAATAACAGGGCAATATGCAAACTGGCCCTAACAGCAGAATGACTGGGAATGACTGGTCACTACGACATACACTGACCACCAGGAGGCAGATGCTCAATGCAGGAGCTGTCCCCTGGTGGTCAGTCGTTTCCACAGGGGGAGCGCTATTCAGCCACAAGCCAGGCTGATGGCTGCCACCACACCGGTGGTGGCGGAAGCCTCTTCCACCTCCTCAACAGCACTAAGGATGTCCAACTGCAGCTTAGGTCTCCTCCCTGCTGGTAAGTGGACATCCCCAGAGGGCTGCCAGGCTGCCAGAGGGATGTCTGACTGCCAGCTTGGGCCCAATCCCCCAGGGAGCGAACCTAAGCCAGCAGGTGATCATCCTCCGAGGGTTCCCAGACTGCTAGAGGGCACAGGCTGGGCTGAGGTAACCCCCAACCCCCGAGCGCACAAATTTTTGTGCACTGGGCCTCTAGTCAAATAATAATAGCCAACACAGACATATGTTAGGAAATTGTATAAGATATATATACATATATACATACATATATATATATATATATATATATACATATATATATGTATATATATATATATATACACACACACACACATACATACACACACTCTTCTAAAACTCACAACAAATCTATGTAATGGTAACTAATCTTTATTTTACAGGTGAGGAAATTGAGTCTTAACACTAATAAAGGCATACTGGGTTCAAACCTAGTCACTCTGGCTGTAGAATCTCTACTCCTAATCACTTTGTTGTATCACCACCAATGAGTCTGGGAGAGGGCCATGTTGCTGTAAAAAGAATGGAGCAAAGGTGGGAGGACAGTAGAGGTTAAGGAATGAAGCGCTAGGGCTAAAAATTTGGAAAAATAATATGCGCAATTACAAGCAAAAGACTCGTTAAGGGGGAACAATAGTATTAAGAAAAATAAAGATAAGGAATAGTTGTCAAACAAAGATAAAAACAAAGTCATTCAACACGGCTGGGGGAGATGAGGAAGGCCCAGGAAGACCTCAACGAAAAGGCTGCGATGTCAGCCAAGATGCAGAGAGCAAATGAGGAAAGGCAATTCTTACAAGATGGTGAAGGTGCCATTATAGGTGCTGGGCTCTGGTACTGGCACTCTGGTGAGCCTCCGCTTTGAGCCAAAACCAATACATGACAGTGTCCCATTACTGCAGGAACAGAGCTCACATATGTTCACGGTGGCACTCTGTTCAGTCATTGGAGGAACTGTCTCTGATGACGCTGGTGGCTGTGTTATGGTAACTTCCAGGTCAAACGATAGAACTGTGGCTGTGACTTCAGAAAAAGCTGCCTGCTGAACCTGAACAAGTTCTGGATGTTGAAGTGTCACCACAGGGTGCTTTGCAGGAGCTGTGGTAGGCTGCAGGGCTGTAGCACCAGTCTCCACCGTAGACTCTGGAGTGATGGTGAGCTCCAGGTCCACAGGTGGAAAGGTTTCCTGAGGAGCCTGAACAGTCTCTGGCGGTGGAAGTGTCACCTCAGGGAGCTTTGCAGGAGCTGTAGTCTGTTGCAGGGCTGTAGCACCAGTCTCCACTGTAGGCTCTGGAGTGATGGTGAGCTCCAGGTCCAAAGGTGGAAAGGTTGTTTGCTGAGCCTGAACAGTCTCTGGCAGTGGAAGTGTCACCTCAGGGTGCTTTGCAGGAGCTGTAGTCTGCTTCAGGGCTGTAGTACCAGTCTCCACCGTAGACTCTGGAGTGATGGTGAGCTCCAGGTCCACAGGTGGAATTGTTGCCTGAGGAGCCTGAACAGTCTCTGGCGGTGGAAGTGTCACCTTAGAGGGCTTTGCAGGAGCTGTGGTCTGCTGCAGGGCTGTAGCATCAGCCTCCAAAGTCAGATCTGGAGTGATGGTGAGCTCCAGGTCCACAGGTGGAAAGGTTGCCTGAGGAGCCTGAACAGTTTCTGGCGGTGGAAGTGTCACCTCAGGGAGCTTTGCAGGAGCTGTAGTCTGTTGCAGGGCTGTAGCACCAGTCTCCACTGTAGACTCTGGAGTGATGGTGAGCTCCAGGTCCAAAGGTGGAAAGGTTGGCTGATGAGCCTGAACAGTCTCTGGACGTGGAAGTGTCATCGCAGGGTGCTTTGGAGGAGCTACAGTCTGCTGCAGGGCTGTAGCACCAGCCTCCCAAGTAGGTTCTGGAATAACAGGGACTTCCAGTTCCAATGGTGGAAAGGTTGGCTGCTGAGCCTGATTAGGCTCTAGAAGTGGAAATGTCACCCCAGGGTTTAGTGGAGGAGCTGCAGTCTGCTGATCCCAAGACCAGGGCTTGGTGGGACCCAGGGGGATGGAGGTCAGCTGGCTAGAGTCCATGGCCAACTCCGGAATCGGAGCTGCCTGGATCTGCAGCCACAACAGCTGCCACAGGAACAGGAACTGTGGGGCCCACATGTGCAGCCCGGACATTACAGGCAGAGGTCCAGGGCACAGTGATCCACCAAGGCAAATGGGGCAAGAAGGGTGACCCAGAAGACTAGGGCACAACACGCGATCCAAAAGAATGGAGCACAATGAGCGACCCAGACAAGTGGGATGCAAGTACTATGCGTTGAGCAGGAGCCCAACAATTGGCAGCCATGTCACAATTGGCAGCCCTGTTCTGCATGTGCCCCTTAGCAACCAAGCACCCCTCCCCCACCTCAAGTTCTAACCTTTATTTAAGCAATCTTTATTATTCTTGGGCTGAAGTGACTATAGAAGAGTGAGCCTTTTCCCCAAAATCACCAGGGACCAAGTGGTTCTTTTCACCTGCAGAAAAGATAACTATCTCCCTCTGGGTCTCCCCTCTCCACTCACAGTGAGGCAGGATTTGGACTGCACACTTGGGTGGCCCCAGAGCCCAGGCAAGGTGGGATGTGGGGAGGGGGTGTAAAAGAAGGTGGGAGTTGGGGAGTATTGAAGAGCTTTCCAAGAAAGCCGCAGGGCCTGGCATCTTAGGAAATTCAGAAGAGCTAGTCCAGTCTGGCAGTCTGAGCTCCTCCTCAAAGCTGAAATCTGAGTCTTCCTCCCAATGGCCATACTGCTTTCTGGAAAAGTAGCTGACCTACAAAATACACCAGTTAGAGCGGTGTGGAGTGGGACACACTTTACAGTTCAAAGATGTTGCCAGCCCTAACCGGTTTGGCTCAATGGATAGAGCATCAGCCTGGGACTGAAAGGTCCCAGGTTCGATTCCGTTCAAGGGCATGTACCTTGGTTGCGGACACATCCCCAGTAGGGGGCGTGCAGGAGGCAGCTGATCGATGTTTCTCTCTCATGATGTTTCTAACTCTCTATCCCTCTCCCTTCCTCTCTGTAAAAAAATCAATAAAATATATATATTTTTAAAAATGTTGCCATTTCCTTGAAATTCTCAATATCCATGTTAGATTTTTAAAAAATTCTCACCCAAAGATATGTTTATTGATTTTAAAGAGAGACAAGGGGGTAGGGAGAGGGGGAGAAAGAGAGAAAGATCAATATGAGAGAGAAATATATCGGTTGCCTACAGTACACGTCTGATATCTCATGGCATCCTCACATGGAGAGTAGACGGAGAGGAAACAAGCTCTTCATGACCCTTACAAGGGCACTATTCCCATTCAGGAGGGCTTCACCCTCATGATCTCATCTAACCCTAACTACTTGCCAAATGAAATAATACTATTGCATTGGTCCTTGGGTTTCAACATATGAATTTGGGTTGGGGGGACATAAATATTGGACCGTAACATTTCAATTTTGGACTTCTATACACCCAAACTGTGAGAGAATAATATTATGTTGTTTAAGCTAAGTTTGTGGTACTCGGTTACAGTAGACCTATGAAACTAATACAGACTCCAACTACCCTTCAGGAATGGTTTTTTTTGTTTGATTGTTTTTTAATATATTTTATTGATTTTTTAGAGAGGAATGGAAAGGGATAGAGTTAGAAACATCAATGAGAGAGAAACATCGATCAGCTGCCTCCTGCACACCCCGCACTGGGGATGTGCCCACACCAAGGTACATGCCCTTGACTGGAATAGAACCTGGGACGCTTTGGTCCACAGGCCAATGCTCTATCCACTGAACCAAACCAGTCAAAGCCAGGAATGGTTTTGAACTTCAGTGATTAGTGGATTTAGAAATCTTCTCAGGTCTCTTGATTAATATAAAGCTAACATGAAAATGACATATACAAATATGGCTCTATTTACTTGTATCTAAAGTGTTTCTTACATGTTCGTAATCATTTCCCGAGACTATCATTGTGTATTTTAAGAGTTTTACCACAATTAGATAGTTTTCTTAGCAGTATATAAATGAATCTTCAGGATTTAAACTCTTTTATTCAAAAAATGCCAAGCAATTAAGCCTCAATTGTAAATATAAACAGTATTCTCGTCATTTAAAGGCTTTATACACAAATTCTGAGCTCTATAAACAGGAATTTTTTTTTTATTAAATCTTTATTGTTCAGATTATTACAGATGTTCCTCTTTTTTTCCCCCCATAGCTCTCCTCCACCCAGTTCCCACTCCACCCTCTGCCCTTACCCCTCCCACTGTCCTCATCCATAGGTGTACGATTTTTGTCCAGTCTCTTCCTGCACCCCCATACCCCTTTCCCCCCAAGAATTGTCAGTCCACTCCCTTTCCATGCCCCTGGTTCTATTATATTCATCAGTTTACTCTGTTCATCAGATTTTTTATTCACTTGATTTTTAGATTCACTTGTTGATGGATATGTATTTGCTGTTCATAATTTTTATCTTTACCTTTTTCTTCTTCTTCTTCAAGAATACCATTCAGCATTTCGTATAATGCTGGTTTGGTGGTGATGAACTCCTTTAGCTTTTTCTTATCTGTGAAGCTCTTTATCTGACCTTCAATTCTGAATGATAGCTTTGCTGGATAAAGTAATCTTGGTTGTAGGTTCTTGGCATTCATCACTTTGAATATTTCTTGCCACTCCCTTCTGGCCTGCATAGTTTCTGTTGAGAAATCAGCTGACAGTCGTATGGGTATTCCCTTGTAGGTAACTGAGTTTCTTTCTCTTGCTGCTTTTAAGATTCTCTCTTTGTCTTTTGCTCTTGGCATTTTAATGATGATGTGTCTTGGTGTGGTCCTCTTTGGATTCCTTTTGTTTGGGGTTCTCTGCCCTTCCTGGACTCGTAAGTCTATTTCTTTCACCAGGTAGGGGAAGTTTTCTGTCATTATTTCTTCAAATAGGTTTTCAATATCTTGCCCTCTCTCTTCTTCTGGCACCCCTATAATTCGGATGTTGGTTCACTTGAAGTTGTCCCAGAGGCTCCTTACACTATCTTCATATTTTTGGATTCTTTTTTCTTTTTCTTTTCCAGTTGGGTATTTTTTTGTTTCTTCGTATTTCAAATCTTTGACTTGATTCTTGGGATCCTCTTGTCTGCTGTTGGATCTCTGGATATTATTCTTTATTTCAGTCAGTGTATGCTTAATTTCTAGTTGGTCTTTTTTCATATCCTCCAGGGTCTCACTAAATTTATTGGCAGTTTCTAGAAAATTCTTGAAAAACCTTATAACTGTGGTTTTGAACTCTATATCCAGTCATTTGCTTTCCTCCATTTCTGTCATTTGTGACCCATTTCTTTGTCTCCGCATGTTTTATGCTTCCCTGTGTTGGTAGAGTGGCTTTGTGTGCTAGGTGTCCTATAGGGCCCAGTGGCTCAGCCTCCCCAGTTACCTGAGGTGGACACTCTTGGTGCACCCCCTTGTGGGCTTTGTGCACAGTCTTGTTGTAGTTAAGCCTTGATTGTAGTTGGTATCACTGGGAGGAATTGACCTCCAGGCCAATTGGCTGTGAGAATCAGCTGTGTCTGCAGTGGGAGAACTTCTGTGCTGAAGACACCCTTCTGGGGCAAGACTTGCTTCAGTGGGGCTTTGGTGCTCACTGAGTCTGCCCCCTGAGTGTGTTCCTTATGGACCTGAGGAGTTGTAATCTGTATGGTCCCACTCTGACCACTGGGTACACTGGCTCTTGGATCTAAGGAGGTGATAATTTAGCCTCTTCCTGAGGCTACCCAGCAGGAGCTACGAAGAGAACTGCAGATTCCCCTTCCTTTTTGGGGGGGTTTGGAGGTGCCCAGATGAGACCCAGCTGTGAAGCAATGCAAGCTGCTGTGGGGCCTTGGACCTTCTCTTGGAAGTTCTGGGTCTGTCTTGCCCAGCTGCAGTTTGTTAGGTAATTTTCAGATTTCAAAGGGCCAGGGCATTCATATGCAAAAGCCTCTGCAGCAGCTTGGGTGGGGCAGGGTCTCGGAATCAACAGGGCGGAGCAAGCAGCTATGGCTGATCCTCAGCCCTGCCCTAAAGGGCCCCCCTGCATCTCAGTGTCCTGGTAATTGCTGCAAGCACCTCTGAGGGAAAGCCGCCCTCAAGATCCGAGTTCTGCGTGCTGCCAGACAGACCAGTTTCTCCCCGTATGAGTTCTGGGTCCCCAGAGACTTCCCGGAACTGGAGTTCAGAGCAGTTGGGAGCTTGTGACTCCCTCCCGATTCAAAAAGACAGCCGCGTCCTCAGGTGGCAGCCCCTTTCTGCGCACGCTCGAGCCTCCGTACCTCTGCACTTTACTTCCGCAGCTCCTCTGAGTCTCAGTGTGCTTTTCTCTTTCCTTCTAGTTGTAGAATTTCCATTCAGCCAGCCTTCCTGTAGTTCTGGATGATGTCCGTTTTGTCTTTTCGTTGTATTTTTTAAGTTGTTGTCGGAGGCAGCAATTTCCAGTTTTTACCTATGCCACTATCTTGGTTTCTCCTTAACAGGAATTCTTAATGGTTGAAACCACGTTCTTCTGAAAACGCCAACTAATGTAGCCAGAATTGTAAATATTATCAGTATTCTCATCATTTCACAGCTTTCTACCTTAATCTCGGTGATTGAACACGGCCATAGAGATATTATGGCTATATTTACTTGTATTTCAAGTGTTTCTTACACATTCCTAATCATTTCCTGGGACTATCATTGTGTATAACTTTCCTTATTTTTACAGAATGAAAGAATTATTACCTTTTTTTAAGTATATTTTTTGTTGATTTCAGAAAGGAAGGGAGAGAGAGAAACATCAATGATGAGAGAGAATCATTGACTGACTGCTTCCTGCATGCCCCACACTGGGGATTGAGCCTGCAACCCAGGCATGTGCCCTTGACCAAAATTGAACCCGGGACCCTTCATTCCACAGGCTGACGCTTTATCCACCGAGCCAAACCAGCTAGGGCAGCCCTAGTTTTTAAAAATATTTTATTACATGTTAATATTAAATTATATTTTTTGCTTTCAAAAATCCCCATAGTTATGTAATATAATCCTATTTATAATGAACATTAAGTAGATCACATTTTATATATTATGAAATTATCTTAGTCCCCCTTACCCCAATAGTGTAAATACGTAAAACAGAAAGTGTGAGCCATTATATACTCTGATTTATAACTACTTACATTAGACTGAGTGTTTAATGTTCTCTGTATGTCATGTATTCTGAATGCAAATCCTAACGTTTTTGATGCTTTAGGGCAGCAATTTTCAACCAGTGTGCCACAAGAATTTTTAAAGCATGTAACATCTGACTATTTAGTCAGGGGCACTGATCTCTTTTCCCTTAGACTGTC